CAAAGAAAGAAGAGGAGAGAGAGACGCGACGACGAAGAAGAGGGGAGTGGGGGAAGAAGTTCCTTTTTTTGTAGGGCGTGCGGAAGGAGAAAAAGAGAGAGGGAGAAAAAAAAAAAGTCGTTTGTTTTTATAAAGATAGTTTTGTATAAAAAAAGAAATTAATGGGGAACTGGAGAGGCGAGGGGGAATAAATAAAGAGACCTTTCTCGAAGAGAAAGAGAGAGCGCAGGAGCCAGGAAGGTGGGCGGCCCAAACACCGGGAACGACGGGGGGGGGCCAGGAACTAATTAGGGGTATGACACTATTTAAGACTTGGAAAAGCGGGAGATTGTAGGACGCAAGGGGTGGGGAAGACACGATTTCGGGGACCCAGACGCGAAAAAAAGGTTGGAAAGACGCGCGGGGATAGAGTAGAAAAACAAGAGAATGAGGCCATAGTGGTGGGAGCAAATAAGGGGTGGTAGAGGGATAAGGGTAGCAAAGAAAAGAGGCGCCGTATTGCCTCTTCCTTAAGAAGGGTAGAAAGGCAAGGGAATTAGGTTTTTGGGAAGAAAAGGCTTGGTTCGCTTGTTGAGTAAGGAGGGATACCTGCGTTTGCAGTGGCCTTAACGGTACCGTAGGCCTTACCTTAAGTAAGTACCCTTCTGATTGTTTAACGAAAACTGGTCGTTAACAATAATTGGCATAAGGGAACTGGGCATGAGGCTAAGTTAGCTGTATTGGTTACAACTTTGTACTAAAGGATTCGCGCTATATAATAGTATTATATATGGACATATAATATTATGATTGAGCGTAGGCAAGGGCTTGTTAGCGTTGGCTAGGTCGTTGAGTATGAGGTTATGTTGAAAGTTAATAAGTCATTANATAATAAATGAGTAATAAAACTAAGTTTAAAGCCTTTAGTAGATTACAGCATGTGGCACGACTTAACACGATTGTGATAAGATAGCTGTGTTTAGTCTATTATAAGTAAAAGGGCAACTAGATTATCTGAGACCTGCTTTAATAGGTTATGATTAATAAGTAAGCATGTATTAATTAATAGATAGGCAAACTAGCAGAGGACGAGTAAGCCACTATGAACACCATTGCAAGAATATAAATATTAAGTGTAATAACGCATTTAAGCGTTGTATATGATATAATAAGGTGATATGTTATGTGGCTTGTACATGCTAACTTTTATAGGCGCGGCGAAAGGTGGTTAGTTAGAGCAGGCATAATAGTACTAAGTCATTATATTCCGAACATTAAGTAGAGTAAGGGTTGAAGAGTAGAATTATAAGATGGCTGCGGCAGCGAAGAGTATAGGCGTGGCCAGTGCGATTAGGCAGTAGGAGAGAGTGTGCATATAAGCAGCGTACCTTGAGCGTGTCTAACATAGTATTGCGGATGCTAAATGCGGCGGAAGTAGCGCGGCCACTATGAATCAGGAACATGTAGCTCATTTAATAGGAAGTATGAAGGTGTAAGAGAAATATGAAAAGAGGTGTAGATGATGCGAACTGCAGTAGGTGTACAGAAGGGCGTTGAAACGCGGATTTGGTAGGTGATTGATATGTAAGAACGTTTAAGCATTGAACGAAAACGAGTAAAGAGGGTGAGGTGAGGGCGAAAGAGCACTGACTGAGACAGGATATATACGTAGGTAGAAGATGCAGTATAGCGCAACCCTAGTAGAGCGTAGCATAGCTAGGTAGCTATGCTAGTCCTATGCAACGTATTAAGATAGTTTGTTAAGTCCGTCGCTTAGTAAGCAACTAGTTGCTAAACCGGTGCGTAAGAACGCGTGTATAGAATACCCTTACAAATTAGCAGGCAATAAACGGCCGCTATTACCTTTATCTTACCTTGCTAGTAGTTAAAAGTTGTAAGCCTTACGCCGCCGTTTTTAGTTAGCGCACACTATACCCCTATACACTTAGTGTTTAAGGCTAGCCCCTTTATAACACCTATTAGCAGCAACTTAAGCGTTCCCTAACTAGGATCTAAGCTGCACGCCTTCTAAAAAGCTTTAACAAACAAGACAACCTGTGCATTAGGCAGGATCTAGCGTTTACTACTGCTATAGACTAAGCAGTACGTGTGCGCTTCTACATTACCTAAATGTAATCGTATAAGCAAGTAGTCTACAACTGCTCGGCAATAGCTAATAACCTAGAGCGCTTAACTTTTTTTCCTAACTCTATAAAAGAAGGTTTTTTAATATGCAAGTAGCTACTGCGTGTGCACCTTTAGGCTAATAGGGGCGTTACCTAGGGAGGGGAGGGATAGTGTAAGGGTATTCTATACACGCGTCCCTACGCACCGGTTTGGCAACTAGTTACTTACTAAGCGACAGACTTTACAAACTATCTTAACACGTTGTACAGGACTAGCATAGCTACTTAGCTGTGCCACGCCCTACTAGGGTTGCGCTATACTGCATCTTTTAGCTATGTATATATTAGCTGGCAGGCCTTTGCCTACTAGTCTCTTATAGTTTGTTAAGTTAAAGTCTTAATACAATAGTATAAACTAGTTAAGCCTTTATAACTATGTATTGTACACTACTCTTTATAACTTTTAAATCTATTTATTTTACTATAAGGGCTATATGCTTTAGCTATGCTAAGAACCTTAAATATACTTTATATAACTTCTCTATACTATACTTAATCTAGCATTATTATTTTTAATACGCTATTTATAGGTTAAAAGATACTATAGCAGATTACGCTAGTAAAGAAAGAGAGTAACTTAAATAAGTTTACGTAGCGCCTTCTTTATAAAGCTAGCTACGCAATTAATTTAAAAACAGCTATAATAGCCTTTTAAAAGCAGCGAATTACTAAGCTAAAGGCATTATAATTAGCGCAAAAGGTTAGTAAGCGCTGTAAAGTAAAGCCTGCGCCGAATAAGCGGTTTATACGAATTTAAGAGGTTATAGCGGTTAAAGAGCGCGTTATAAGAGAAATTTAACCGGAAAACACGGCTAGGGAGATGCAGGCGGAGTCTATAAATAGATTCATGCATGTTTTTCACTATGTAACTAGTGAAGAAGTCTAGGAAGACTGAATAAAAGATGTGCGTGGATTAAGTAATTATTGGTCGAAAGGGGGGGTGGCGGACTTATAATCATGGAAGCTTTTTAAGGCAATTCTGGCTATATCATCTAACGTGCCCCGCACTACCCGTAGGTTCTTTAACCCAAGCCATTCTATACAACTCTCCGCCAACGCCAACAGCACACGAACTCTTTCTTAAACAATACTGTAGATCCTATCTAATTTCCAGACCTTGTAAGATATTCAATGTTGACATTTTGACAGGCATGCCAGAGTAAGCCGAATGTTTATTTGGACACACTGTCAGAAGCTACACAGAAACCTAAATTCGTACCGGCTGTCGCCAACGGTGGCTTCCTTAAACTAGCACCCCATATAAAAGGGCAGGTTGCACTGGAAATGCGTTGATTTGACAGACGGATCGTCTTTTTCGCTGGTAGCGACTTAGGGTGGTAATGCAGCCGTCCTCGTACGCTGTTATCCCTTTTGAGCGTACAACTCACCTCATCCTTGGTATGGCCTAATACACTCTAACCATGTATCGGGACCCGTTTGCCAGGGGCCTAGCCAGATATCTTTAATACCTCGACATCTACCAATGTAGTCCGTTCCCTGGCATTCAGGGCATCTTCGTGGTAAATACGGATAGGGACGGTTTTACAAAAAAGGTTTGAGAAGGTCCATTGATGAACGAGTATGTAGTGCGACACAGACCCTGTCAAGATATGGCAGGACTAATGCGTTAGTGTCCAGGAATTGTATCTACAATTTGGCATTTAATTTCGTCAACTGGTCGCTGTCCCCGTTTTTTTAGATCAGGCCACTGACAAACGTTAGCGCTGTCCCGATTGACTGGTTTCTCTGCGATATTCTTATCTCGACACAATGGCAATCTTGAGAGTGGGAGACGAATTACGGCCGGGGTGTTTTATACGTATGTAAGATAGATACATCTAGTGTTACGGACTTCTTGATTTGGAACCAGATCTGCACAATGGATGTATAACGCCCCGCAAACGCGGAATTTACCTCATTGCCCCCACCTTTAACGTGCAATGCCTGTAAGCTTGAATCTGTTCGCTTTCGTCTCTTCGGATCCGATATACCCCCGTAGTTGTACAAGACAGTAGCTCGGCTCTTCTGGGCCCTTGGTCTGCAGTCCAAGACAGCGTGTGTAGACACGTGAGATTAATCTCCCAGGGTCCAACACAATGGACGTCTACGTCCGGAGCCAACATAGAAATCCTATGTCATCCATCATGAGATAGCCATAGTACTATCCATAATTAGCCGGTCAGTTACGTCGGCGAATACCGACCCAACAATCGACAGGTTTTTTGCTGAAGCCCTCATGCGACATCAGCTGGGGCTGATACAGGTTAAAGTCGTAGCGGCGGAAGGCAGTGCCGATTATCAGGGCCAGCTCCATGTGTGCGACGTTCTGGCCGACGCAGGCACGGGGCCCAAAGGAGAAGGGGTTGAAGCAGATGCGCTGACGCGGGGTGAGATCCAGCCAGCGGTCGGGACGGAACTCCTCGACATCGGGGCCCCAGATGTCGGCATCGTGGTGGATGGAGAAGCTGGGAACGGACAGGACGGTGCCGACGGGGAAGTGCTCGTTCTCACAGTCGATTCCCTCGGGTGCGGTGACGATGCGCGGCAGGCCGAGGGCGGAGGTGGAGTGCAGACGCATGCCCTCATCGATGCACTGGCGGAGGAATTTGAGGTTTTTGACCATAGCGTGAGAGGCGACGGCGGTGCCGGCAGGAACGGCGGCGTCAAGCTCGGCCTGCAGGCGGGGCAGAACAGAGCCGGGCTTAGCCCGTTCGCCGTGAAGGATCCAGTAGGTAACGGCACAGGCAGTATTGGAGACGGTGTCGCTGCCGGCGATCAACTGCGTCAGGGCTTCGGAGATAAGCTCGTCGCGCTTGATGGGCTGGCCGCTGCCGTCTTTAGCGCGGCACAGCATCTCGAGGATGTCGTGGCGGCCCTGGGCGACAATACCACCCTTCTCGGCAGCGTCTTGGGAGCCTAGACGCTTGTCGACGGCGGCAACGGCGATTCCGTGGAGGTTGGCCACCGACTGGAGGCCCCGCGAGAAGAAGGGGTCGGGCAGGTACTTGGCAAAAGGCCGGATTTGCGGCAGCAGACCCAGGGTTGAGCTGACCTCGCCACGGCGGTTGAGCGTCTCGGCACCGGGAACATAGATTGTGGCCTTGCCGGGCATAGTGGACTCGCATTCGTCGCGGCCACGCATGACCATGCCAAAGGGCGCACCGAAGGCGAGGTCGCCAATGATGTCAAAGGCCACAAAGGTGCACCATGGCATCATGTTAATGCTGGCAAATCCGTCGGGTGAGTCGGGGTGTGATGCGATGTTGTCGAGCTGGCCTACCCAGCGCTCCAGGTTGTTGGTCATATGCGGCTCAAAATCCTGAACAGCTCCGGGCGAGAAAGCGTGGGCAACGATTTTGCGCTTGCGACCGTGCTCGGTGCGGTCGCGCACGTTGAAGACGCCCGGCACGCCGGAGACAAACGCGTTGTAGAAGTGGCTGGTGGACAGCCTGTCAGCAAGCGTTGCTTCTCCCGAGAGCATCTCCAGACTGGGACCGTCCGACACTTACTCCTTCAGGAAGCCGTTTCCATGGGCATACACGATGCGTAGGCCCTCTGGTGTGGCAATGGACACATGGTTGAAGCCGACACGAACGACCTTGCCGTACTTGCGATGTGCCCAGTCGACCCAGACGAACTTCTGGCCGCCATGGGCTCCAGTGGCCAGCCAGATGTTGCTGAACTTTGCGACGAACGGGCCCGGGATGTGCTTGAGGTGGGCATAGGTGGTGAAGTAGGGCACAATCCAGTAGGACATGAACCAGGCCGGCAGCAATACGCCAGCGAGTATAGCGTAGTAGATGAGCTCCATGGTGGCAGATGGGCCGTGGCAGAAGAACAGAGACAGGTGCGGAGTCAGAGGCAAGGAAGCACAGAGACAATGGCGATGCGGCCCCTGTCGGTTTATACCGGCGGCAGTTTGGCTGCGAACGGATGACGCTGGTATACGTGCTCCTCGCTATGGAAAAGGCCCTCCAGCTTCCGGGTGGAAGGCGAGACCGCCAATGGCGACATCTTGATTGGCCTCACAGCTTATCCCCCACTTCTGCAAAAGCTCAGTGGCACTGCTGCTGGGGTGGGGAGCTCCGGCTATCACCACCAGTGTGTCTGGTTGTACTGCTAACGCAGCTCTCAGTTTCGGATTCAGGGTATCTGCCTGGTTTCTCGGCTTTCTCGTTGGCATGCCCGACGACCACCGGTCTGCAAGCAGCAGGCGTTGCAGCCTTATCCCATTTGAGCGGACCGAGCTGAACGAGGCGTTTCTGCGTTTGTGATTGCAGGAGGACTGTCAGACCCGAGTGTCGTGTTTGTTGTCTTCTAGGAATTGTACCCGGATGACTGCACTTGGCCTTCCCGTCCCCCTCTCCTGTGTCCCTTCCGTCGCGCTTTCCCTGGCCCTCTCGGCTTGCTCCCTCCTGCCAATCTTCCGCGTGCGTTCCACAGTATCTCCACTTTTTCGCTGCTACTGCATTTCTCCTCCCTCTCCAAAGCCCCTTAGGCCCCCTAGCTCGTTTTTGTCGATAGGAGGCATGTCTTATCTCACTATCTTAGATTTTATCTCCCCCTAAATCGTTCGTTTCCTCTTTTCGCCCTCTTTCTTCCCACCGACCAGAATCGCCCGGCAGCCGTACTCGATGCAAATCTCCATTCTTATCCCTTTCGCCGCCTTATCTTGTTTCCCACAGCCGCTAAGACCGGCACCTCGTCTCAGCTAGTTCCACTTCTGTGCTTGTGGCGTCGTCGCGAGCAGACTGTTGGCCGCAGGCCAGTCTCTTTAGTCTTGGCGACATTCGGGCACTCCCCACCACACCCACATGCCAGAACTAGGTGGCGGAAGGCAGTACAAGTCCAGACGGAACCGGCCCTGTGATCTCTGTAGGTCGCGCAAGGCAGCCTGTGTCATCACGACACGCCCCCCTTGCGATCTGTGCCGGACTAAAGGACTGCAATGCACCTTTGTCAAGGGGCCCGGCGCCCGTCGTCGATTGCTAAGCGATTGCCCGTCGGCGGTCTCTGCGACCGACACCAATGACACCATCGTTGCCGCAACCACAGACGACAACGTCTCTGTGGAGCCCGTCATCTTCCACCGATCCCAGCTCATGGGCAGTCCAGATGGCAAGGGAGAACCTGATGGCGAGGGCGAGGACGAAGACCTGAACCTGAGCGTGGACGTGGACACGACCGCTGACCCGCTGCTCGACAATGAGCTGACCAGTCGGCAGGCCGTCTCGCCAAAGGTATTGAAAGGTTCAGACCGGTCGCCATCTGTTGCACTGTCACATGGCAATGCCGTCAATCAGACCGTTGACAGCAGCTGCAGCCGCGTCAGCCTCGAAAACAGTGCCGGCCGGCCTTGCCGCTTTGTCGGCCTGGCCGGTGAGCTGGACGCGTATCTGATCGCTCGGAGACGGTGCAACGAGTCTCTGCAATCGCAGTCGCCCTTCACGGGCGTCACGTACCAGTACATGAAGTCGTTGGAGACGGGCCTAGCTGAGTTCCAGCCACCGCCTGTATTCACAGTCGGCGATGTGGCACAGCTTGAACACTCCAGGCTCGATTCGGAGCTTGACAGTCTCCGTCATCTGCGCCATTGCTTTGGCGGCCTCGTGCCAAACAGCCTGGCGCGCGAGCTGATGCGAATCTTCTTCCGTTTCATCAGCACATCGTTTCCCGTGCTGAGCCGGCGGCAGATGCCGGCGACCGATGGCGCCGTCGATGAGCTGCCGCTGTCGCTGCTGGCGGCCGTCTGTGCGTCGGCGCTTCCATTCGTCATATACGATGATGTCTTGTGCGTCCTGGGCGAAGCGGTGCCGGATGCTAGCGAGATCCACCGGATAGCCTGTGACGCCCTGCACTTGGAACGCCACCACGACGCACGTCTAGCCACAGTGCAGGCCACGCTGTTGGTGCTGCAACGGCCACCACGCGACGACCTGTTTGGCGATGCCGCGGCACATTGGCGCATGTGCGCCGTGCTGGTGGCCGACTGCCAGGCCCTGGGCCTGCATCGTAATGCTGCTGCTGGCTGGGCTGCCCTAGCACGGTGGGAGGTCCGCCTGCGAACACGTCTGTGGTGGGCGGCCGTTGTGACCGAGACCTGGACTGCTTTTGGCCAGGGAATGCGCAGTCATATCAACGACGATGATGCGGATGTGCCGCTGCCGACAGAAGCAGACGTCTACGACCACACAAGCTTAGAGGACGACGATGGTGCTCCGTTTTGCCACCTCGTCCGCCTGACCCTCATACTGCGAGACATCCACACCGCCTTCTATACTGTGCAATCGGCCCAGCGAACATGCTGCGACTTGCAGACGTCGCTAGATACGTCCAAGCACCTGTTTGCACGGCTGAAACAATGGCATCAGGCACTTCCTGCGCCACTGAAACTGATGCAGACGGGGGGGCAGCAAGGCCAGACTGACGAGACGACACGCATTGCCGTGGCCGCGGCTGACATTGGCGCCTTGAGCACGAGCGGCACGCTGCGTCTGGCCTACGTTGTGGCACAACTGGCGCTGTTCCGTGCGCTGCTGCGGCCCCTGGCCATGGCGGACATGACAGCGCAGCACGATGCCGTTCCGGCGGGTTTTTGGGACACCGATGGTGCTGTTGCCATCATGAAGGGTGCTCTGGTGTCAGCTCGGGAGTTGGTGCGCTTCATCGAGGGCCTGACAACGGCCGATTGGGACGGCTTCTGGCACAGCTGTGAGTTTTCTGTTGACTTTTCACGCCGAATTATTTGCTGACATGCCAGGGTCCAAACATAATTTTGCAGTCGCTTCTACGTTCCTCATGCATCTGCTAGTGCTTACTAATCCATCCACCAGCAGTCCCTTAGGTAGCTCGCCGGACGACTCGACCGAGCTGCGTCTCCGGCCACACGCGAACAGTGTCAGTAGCGTCGGAAGCTCACAGGCGCCCAACAGCAGCACGAGCCCTGACGTCGAGGACAGCGCCCCCTCTGGCCACTACCTTGATGCGATGCACACAGAACTAGAGGTGCTGACTAAACGGTGGAGGTGGGCGCTGCGATTGGCCCAGAGGGGCGCCGGCGGTCGCAAGGGACTGATGCGTGTGAGTCTGCGTCGGACAGAAGCGCTATTCCGTGAGTGGCAGATCGGGAAGTCGAGCAGAGAGGACGGGAAAATAGTATAAAGTGTTAGATTGGACTGCGCTGGGCAGCATCGGCTTTCAAGTTTGGCAGTTTGATATTTTAATAGTTTCTTCTTGATACTTTTGGCATCGTTTCTTCCTTCCCGGTATATGAAGAGCAACAGATATGGGAGCATGCCTCAATCCAAACTCTAGGCTCCAAACGGCCACGACAGAAGTGGTGGCTCGACGACTCCAGTCTGTTCGATCAAGCGGCCGTAGTGCTCGGTGCGGCGGTGCTTCGCAAAGGCGAAGACGCCTTCCTTCTGGGCACGGCATTCGGCAAGGTCAATGGTGGCCGTGATAAGCTCGTCGTCGCTGGTCTTAGACTCGGCGAGAATCTGGCCGCCAGGCGCAACGATGAGCGAACTGGCGATCAGCAGGCCACCGTCCTCATTGCCGGCCTTGGCGGCGTGGATGCTGAAGCAAGCGTTGTGGTAGCTACCGGCCTGGCAGGAGAGCCGGTGGTGGAAAACGGCAAGGGCTTCCTGCTCGGTCACGCTCGTCGGCCGGTTAGCGTAGTAAGCGCATGTGTTGTAGCCTTCGAGGACGAGCTCGGCGCCCTGCAGTCCATATGAGCGCCAGGCTTCAGGCCAGCGCCGGTCGTTGCAGATCAGCATACCGAGGATGGGGTCGCCGAGGCCCTCTATCTTTTCCGCATTTTCTATCTGGACCTTGTCGGCCTTCAGTGCATTATCCACCAGTCCAGGCGCGCGAAAAGCCGGGAAGCCGAGATCGCCCGGCGCAAAGTACATCTTCTCTAGCTGCTCCTGGGCGCCACCCGTGGGCACAGCCGTGCCCGGCAGATGAACCTTGCGGTACTTGGCAATGACAGCGTCAGTCTGAGCTGAGTAGTAGCACAGCGTGTTGTAGTGCATGACGTTTCCGTCGGCAGCCGTCCATTTTTCGGCGTAGCCGAGCGCGATGTCGATGCCGAGCGAGTGCGCCCGATCGAAGAGCGGCTTTGTGTGCGGGTTACTGCGGCGCAGCGCGTCTGGCTCGGCATCTGACTCAGCCTCGAAAAAAGCGTCTACCGTGTCTTCGCCGGCCAAGTTGTGGCGTGGAAAAAAGGTTGTGAGTGCTAGCTCTGGAAACAGCAGCATCCGCACGCCTGAAGCTGCGGCCGCATCCAGCAGAGCCAGCATGCGGGTCAGGACAACCTCGCGCGGTGTGACCAGCTGGATTGCCCCCAGCTGGGCGGCCCCGACGGTTATGACGCGAGACATGGGGGGCAGATGACGGGAGATAGGAGTATTAAGAGAAGCGGGAGCACGGAGGACGGCAGGAAAACTGACACGCTGGGCTGCTGTAGGTGGGGGTGGGCAGACTGAATTCTTGCTGAGCGGTATCGAATGGCAGTTTGAAACGATTGAAGCGATTGCAACCAGCCAGAAGTCAAGTTCATAAGGGCTCATTATCTGACGTCGGCCGTTGGCCGCCGTTCGCCGGGGCAGACAGCTGTCGCACCGATATGCTAGCATACAGTGTGCATTAGATCGAGGTTATTACGCACTGCTCCGACATCACGACTGGTTTGTAAGATACTCAGGATCCCGGTCTGCATGTGCGGCTTCAGCCAGCTCCTTTGTACAGAAAATCGGTTATTGCTATAATTGAATCAGGGGTCACTCCCTTGTTTCTATCTTGATTGTCATATAGTCCATTTCTGCTGATTTGGAAACCAACATTGTCCCTCTGCCGCCTAAACGTACGTCTGTCCCCGTCGTGCTCTACCAGCTGCCGAACTGCGGTACGCACCGCCCTTGGCCGTGCCCAGATCCTCGGTAACCAGCGCGGAAAGGAAGTGGACGCCCATAGTGACGCCGTCGATGACCATGGCCCTGCGGCCGTGACCTCCAGCGGGCTCGTCGACGTCGCGGCCAACGGCATCGATGCAAGCTTGGCGCATCTCCGTCATGCCAGCACAGCCCATGCATATGCAGTCAGCGCCCTTGTCGTAAACCAGGCGGCGGGCGGCCGCTTGGATGCTGGTGTAGACGATGTCGCGCGGCTTGGATTCTAGCTCCAGTACGGACACGTGGCCAGTCTCGCCGCCGGCCGACACGTGCGGCTGGAAACCGTAGTCGGCCACGACGGAACGGCCGTGGAGGGTGCTGCTGCGCTCGCTAGTCGTTACGATTCCCAGCTTGTCACCGCACATGCGAGCCGCATACAGGGCCGCTTCCATGATGCCGATGCAAGGCTGGGCGTACTCCTCGCGCAGCATGGCGATCAGCGGGTGGGCCGAGAAGCAGGCGACCAGAAAGGCGTCTATTTGTACGGCCGCATCCTCTCGTAGAAGGGGCTGCAGCGCCCGGAAGCAGTCTACAGCCGAAATGGCCGCGTCCACCCGACCCTCGACCGCCGTCGGCCCCGTCGTTGGCCCGGTAAAGCCAAAAACGTGCACGTTGGGTGCGAGGCTGCCCTGCACGCTGCGCAAACAGGATTCCGTCATTGCCTTTGTGCTGTTCGGATTGATCAGCAACACGTTAATGTGCCGGCTGGACGTGCCCGTCACCGATGGGAGGTCGCTCAGAGTAGTCATGCTGTTCTGGGTGGGCTAGTGTTTCTGGTTGCGCCCTCAAGCAATGCTGCCGGCAAGTCTGAGTTTCGGCGCGCGATTGGAATCTTTTATGGGACAAAGACGCAAGTATGCATCTGCTGTCCTTTATCGCACGTTACCGATCACGGTATTAGCCGATATCTAGTCGCCGGCCAGTATGAAGGATAGACCCACACACACCGATTTACAGCCAAGTGACTCGTTGACATTTTGTCTTTATTTACTAAGACCTATAAACCCATGGTCCTCAGGAACACGCTTTTTGTCTCGGCGAACGTCTTGCCCGCCTGCAGGCATAGTTGAAGTAGGATGCGGGCCTTTTGCGGCGACAGACAGCCACTGGGAATAGCCCAATCATCACCCTGCAGCTGCAGTGCATAACCGATCTCGGGCCGGCGGCTGAAAACAATGGGGATGTCGGTCTCGTCATACAGCTTCTTGGCCACGGCCTTTGCCTCGGCGTTCCAGCTGCCGTTGCCAACATTGCAGAAGACCAGACCGCGAGCGCCAGAGGCAGCAGCAGCGGTGATCAGCGCCGTGTTAGCATCCTGATGTCCGAACAGCACGTCGACCTGTGGCAGTGCTGTGCAAGCGGTCACGTCCAACACTACCTTGCCCGTCGGCACGGCCGGCCCGTAGAAGAAGACCGGCCGGTGCTCGAGAAAGACACCCAGCTGGCCCTGCTCAGCCGAGTAGAAGCTGTCGACCGAGTTGGCGTGGTGCTTCTCGGTGTACCATGCGGATCCGATGCGGCTGTAGGACAAATATAAGTACAAGTGCACAGGCACAGGCACAAGACAAGACAGATAGAGAATCGCGGTAAACCTACTCATTCGTCACAATCATTGTGCCACGGCCACGAGCAGCTGTGCAGGCAGCCACGGAGACAGCCTGGAAGATGTTCATGGGTCCGTCCGCACTGAGGGCCGAGGCCGGCCGCATAGAGCCGACAAGGACGACGGGCTTGGAGGATGCAATGGTGGCGTCGAGCAAGAATGCCGTCTCCTCCAGCGTGTCTGTGCCGTGGGTAAGCACGGCCCCGGCAACGTCAGGGTAGGCGAGCTCGGCAGCGATGGCCTGGGAGGCACGCAAGGCCATCGCCGACGTCATGTCCTTGCTGAGGATGTTGCACAGCTCGACGCCCCAGATGTTGGCTACGTCACGCAACTCGGGCACAGACTCGACCAGTCCACGGGCACCCACGCTGGGCTGATAGCCGGACATAGCCGTGGCCGACTGTGCGCTGGACGCAATCGTGCCGCCGGTCGTGAAGACGATCACGTTGGGTAGTCCGCGGCGTGAAGCCTCAGAAATGAGCTCGCGCTTAAGGCCGTCCATTTTGAGATAGTGTGGCTGGTGGGTGTGGCGGGCATTGGATGGTTGGCCGAGGATATAGAAGATGAAGGCATTTGGAATCGATTGTTGGTTTGCTAGCAGAATTAAAGACGCAGCAGTTTCATTATGACAGCGGCGGGGCCGCCACTTGGTCAGACCGACAAATAAACCTTATCTACAGCAAAGCCCCTGTACCAGCACGAGCGGATACGTTAATGAGCTAAGACCGGACGCAATCCCGTATACTCATAAGATCACGTGCAGGTACTCCAGCGTACAAGTACATGACTCCGTCGGCGATTCCGACGGTGAGCCATTTTGCACACGTACCGCATTTTAACCGTCTTCACCTCAGACCAAGACGCCACCACGGCCGTACTACAATGGCACGATCGTCCACGGCCACTGCCAAACGCCGTAGCATCACTGACGGAGAGCTGTTGGTGGCAGAATGACGGAGTAGGGCTATGGGCAAGATAAAACAGTTTCGGCTTCGGCAACGGGTTGCGACTGCACGGCTGGCGTGGCGAAGATGCCCAAGACGGGCGGAACTCAGCGTGGACATAACGAAGCCGGCTTTGAGGTCGTTGGGACGGCCTGCTACAGGTCGAGCAGGTGCTGGAGACAGCTATGATCAACGCGACTCGCGCGCTAGGCATCGACGGCATTGTTAGCGGTCTTAGAATTCAGCAAGAAGGCTGGTTGTCCGTCCTGTATCCTGGTGGCCTGCACGTGGCCTCCCACAGCCCAAAAGCCTTTCCTGAAGAGCGGCCCGTCGGCGCCCAGCACCATCCAGGATGGGGTGCTCGCCACCATAGACGAGGCTAGGGTCAAGGCAGACGCTGTGGCCGCCATGTTTACCAGCGGCCAGCCGTCAAGGCACAGCCGCTGCAGAGAGGACGAGACAGCGTGCAGCGCTTTCAGCTGTTTTGCGAGTTCTCTGATTGTTCTTCAAGCGGGCACCAGTCTGTCTTTATTGTTCCTCCTTTTTTCTCGTCGGAAACTGTCTGCAATTTAGTCCAGGGCGTCCTGAGAGGGCGTCAAGAGTGGGTTGGCTACTGTCTCAAGTTGCAGTCCGTCTCGTATCCAGTAGCTGGAGCGTTATCACATCAGAGTCAACAGCAACACATGGTTACGAAAGCGGGTAACACGCGATGGTGGCACTACGTGGCCTGGAAATTGAGACGATTTGCAGCAAAAGTGTGATGATGAAAATCAAAGCAGAACGCCCCTCCCGTAACCCTTGTTGAAAGGTCCATGCCCTCTACCAAACGCAAAAAGAAGGTCAAAAATAGAAAGCAATGATCCTAGTGTCGGTTCACGCCGATCAGGCTGAAAAACTCGTTCCGCGTCTTCTCCCTCTTCTCGAAGCAGCCCAATACACAGCTCGTGATGGTGGTGCTGCCCGCCTTCTGTACCCCGCGCATGACCATGCACAGGTGGCTAGACTCCATCACAACGGCCACGCCCTGTGGCTTGAGGACCTCGAAAACTGCATTGGCGACCTCACGGGTCAGGCGCTCTTGGATCTGCAGGCGGCGGGCAAACAGCTCGGCGATGCGCGGCAGCTTCGAGATACCGATAACAGCATTGTTCGGAATGTAGCCGATGTGCATCTTGCCTGTGAAGGGCACGAGGTGGTGTTCGCAGATGGAGTAGACATCAATGTCCTTGACAATGACCATCTCGTTGTGGCCCTCCTGGAAAATAGCCCCGTTGACAATGTCGCGCACGTTCTTTTGGTAGCCCTCTGTGAATTCCAGCATCGCCTTAGCGTATCGCAGAGGCGTGGCCAACAAACCCTCTCGGTCCGGATCCTCGCCAACGCATTCCAGCAGTGTCCGCACGGCGCCCTTCATACGTTCTAGCCGAATCGCCCTGGCCTCGTCGCTCTCTTCCAGCCGCTCACGCGTGCCCCGGCTCGGCCGGCTGAGCCCATCGAAGTCAATATACGGATTGTCTGCCGTCCGCGCAATCGAGCCGCTGCCGTTGCTCTCTTGTGCATTCTCCTCTGTCTTCGTCTTTTTCCCCTCTCCTTCTTCCTGCAACGGCTGCGATTCGCTGCGCCGTTTCTTCGAGCCCGGTGTATCGCAAAGGTCGCGCGCCGGTTTGCTGATGCTCAAACGGGCATCACGGTCTCTCTTCCGCTCCTTGCCCGTGCCGCGATCCTTTTTCTCTCCCTTCTTTTCCCCATTTGCCAGAGACTGGATCAGGAGCTCTCCGCCGTTCGCATCGCTCTGGCCCATTGCGGTGGACGGGCCGTACTGCTTCCTGGTCGCTGAATCTTACCCTCAAGTAGCTGCGACTGCAATTTTTTCATGTCGCCTGGACATTAGCGGCTTCGAGCGGGACAGAGCTCTGTACTAATGTATCTTAATAATGTTTGAGTCATTCTTTGCATAGCTAGTGCGTTGACCGCTTTGGCACAAAGGGACCTTTTCAGTGGATAGTGTGAAGGTTAAAGGAGGCTATACGTAGCGGTCATATAACGTGATGCACTGTGAGGAGCAGGAGGCTGAATAGGGTCTAGTGTGGGCGAAAGAGTGTTGTGTACTAAGGAAGAAATAGATACATCGCGACCCTTCTGGGGATCCGTATTAATACTAGTGTCAGGCCCCGCTTTTGTGCCTTCTGACCAATTACAGGCCCGTACGGCCAAGTGGGGCGGAAGGGCCACAGTGTGGCGGATTCCAATGCTTGACAGATAGCACCCTGCTTTGTGGATGTATCTCCGTACGAGCACAGGACACCTGTGCTACACTCCACTTAATTTGGAACACGCACAGCGCACGACGTCTCGCTGTCCTCTCGCCGGCATAGTACAAGACTTACTATGTATGGCGTAGAGCGCGTTTTGCGTGCGTATTCTTATTCTTATTGGGTACTCCGTACGCTGACTGGCCCATCGAAATCGGTAAAACCCCGATTTGGAATTAGGCTAGACTTATTCGAGACACTTGCCATATCTCCTGCATCTGAGTAGGCACAAGTACGACTTCATATCCATGCATAAAAGTGTTAGAGAAAATCATTGGGCTGCATTGCAGTCTCTCGTTCTTTACCTATCTATGGGAGAAGTAAAGCGACAATATGCATCATATAGTACGTTAATCTGTACAGGATAAAGAGGTGTATGTAGAAATGATTTGTGACTGGTAGCACGTATGTGTTTCGTTTCCTATAAGTGCAATTGTGATCTGTAATATCTCAACATTGAACATCGATGAGACTTTCCACTAGCGATTACTTCTGAAGATATAAACCCCTATATACCTCCTCTGCTTTTGGTGATGGACAAAATACTCTCCCCAAACCCAGCAGCTAATTTTCATCAAAAGATAGATGGACTCGCCGTTGACCTCGATGCAATGGTGATGTTGACTACCTTCCTAGCCGCATCACAGTGCTAGTCCCTCGGATGCGATAAAGATATGAAACGTAGTTATAATCGATACTGGGGATGTTGTAGCTGTCCCGGCTATCGACCTACGATTGTCACCAACATTATCATTACGACTCAAGGCGACCATCACCATGTGCGTTTATACTGGTGTTCTTATAACCTTAAAAACAAGGATGGGTTTATTACCACGCTTTCATCTTGCTCTGCAACCATTTTCAGTGAGCCCGATGCAACAGCATCATATAAAAGCAACAATAGCCAAACAGAAAACGAATTGAAAAGCTATCTTCATGTGCATGAGGTTGGTTTCCATCGCTTCGGTTCTCTCAACTGCTCTAACACAGCTACACAATTGCGCAAACATGTTGTGGTCCTTATTAGTTTCTCCCTGTATAGGCGAAGTCGGCCATGGAATCAGCTATCTACTTTGTATCTGCGTCTTCAACCTTTTAGAGCCGATGTGAGGCAATCATTTGTGCGATACTGCAGCTCACATACTGCATGTCTCCTATTGTTGTTTTATATTATTTGCGCATTTTCTCATAAACGGACGTAATGGTCCGTAAGACTCTTACAGCTGTCCATAGCTTTTTTTCCATCAAAATAACTCGCCAAAGGAACCGTACTGTTTAGGTCATTATCGGCAGTAAGAAGGCAATAATTGCACAACAACTCAAACAGGCATCTGTCGCAACATTTCGTATTGGGTCAGAGCTCTAAAGTTTTTTCCGCAAATACCAGTAAGCCCCCCACATCGGCATAAAGGCCTGATGCATCATAAACTAAAATTGCAGCATCTTTGATACTGCGCAAATTTGTGCATACACCAATATCCAACACCGTAGAGTGCAGCTGCACTTTTGGACACCCTCTTCACGCTACTTGTTCGATATTGCGAAGAAAGTAAAAGAGGGAATGGTACGTATTGTTGGCAAGAACTGGCGCATTGGAGCATAGACGTTTCAGAAGTTTCACAATAAACTAAGCAGGTTGCACTAGTAAGCATGATAAAAAGTTATTAATAGCACCAAGAGTTCGACACAAAGTGTGCAATCACCTTGCTTGTACTCCGTAAAAAAAGCATAAGAAGACGCAATTTTTGGCTCTTGCACCTCGTCTTTGGACCACCAAACCGCTTTATGTCGTTATTTCTGGGGTTGTCCGAAGCTATACGGAGTACTCTCAATACATTAAGACCTTCGGGATATGGGGCACAAAGTAGTTGATAGAAACGGGCGGTATCAGGCCACAAGAAGTGGCAATTGGCACATCGTATCAGAACCGACCTAGCACCCACTAAATTGGGTCGGGTTTCGACAGATATATGCTCATGCACGCCTCGCCTAGATGAGTGGAGTGCGTAATTCAATCTCGTCAAATTAAATATAAAAAAGAGCGGTATCCGGAGTACAACGAAAGGCCGCCTGCTACACAAGCGAGCCTTTTAGGTCCGTGTCCTGTAGTTTTTCAAGTTCCAGACCCTAGCCAAGATGTACGATACGACCACGATCGACTGACTTGAAAATTTGTAGTCTAACTTAAAATTCACATTGCAGACCCCTGTCACTTTAGCGTTTCACTCATTCGGTTCTGGAAATGCCTTCACCCCACACGCGCCGTTGAAGAAAGAAGCTGGGGCCAGATCTAGAGCCAGTCCTAAAGTAAGGAAGGTTTGACAAAGCTGGAGGGGCATGCGGAGTAAAGGAGGGCGCGCACTTGCACTCCGCGTGGGACGACTCAATGGAATAGGCGGAATGATATTGGAACATATTATGCTCTTCTGTAGTGCATGGACCCTTGCTTGGTCATTGCCCTTGACTGAATGGCTGATGCTCGCTGCGGGAAAATGCTGTGCAAAGCATTCGATGGCTGGAATACGAAGAGCACCGTTCTTAAACGGGACCAACCGTGGGAGGCGTATTCCGTATTATTAGGACAATCCGGGGTGCAACGATCGAAATATGGATCGCACTAATGCTACCTGTATTTTTATCACGAGTGCAACCCAAGTCCTTGGAAAGGCACTAAGCGAAACCGAGGAATTCCATACAGGACTCTCGAAATTCTCCGCCCTCTCGGACCTCCTGCTCCATACCTCCCTGATGGAATAGCTGATGTAGAAAGTACGAAAAGGAGTATATAAGCTGACTGTGCTCGCTGTTGTAGAACACATATGCCTACATGATCATCATCAGCAATTCACACATTCTTTTGTATCGCTGGTAGTTGCTTAGATTCGCTCCACGAGACGTTCATTCTTTATTTTGTACTAATTGTTCTCCATTAATTATTCAAAATGCCTGCGCTATCGACTATTACATCCGCTTTGGCCGCCTGGGCCACTCTTACCACAGCGGCACCCTCCAGCGTCACTGGGTCCCCGCGCTATTCCATGTACTTTGACCAATATCACACCGACGTCCTCCCTAACAAGACCATGACCGCTGGCATCACACACGTGATCACCGCCTTTGCCAACTCGTCGCTCTTCACCACTAACCCTGTTGGCGAGTATACACCCTTCAAGCCGCTGTCCGAAATTCGTGCTATGTTCGACCACGATGTGACGATCAGCATGGCCGTCGGTGGGTGGGGTGATCTTGCCGGTTTTCGCGTGGGTGTCGCTTCTGAGGAGTCACGTGCTTTGTACGCCAGCAATATTGCTGCAACTCTCAACAGACTAGGTTACGACGGTGTCGATATTGACTGGGAGTACCCGGGAGGAAACGGCTTCGACTACAAACAAATTGCCAACAATGCCACAGAGGCCGAGGTCTTCCCCCTCTTCCTAACTGCTATCAAGTCGGCCATCGGTGATAAGGAGCTTTCGATTGCCGTGCCTGGTCTTGAGCGCGACATGCTGGCCTACACGGCCGAGAAGGTGCCCTTGATCAACTCTGCTGTAGATGTCGTCAACGTCATGACCTACGACCTGATGAACCGCCGCGACACCACGACCAAGCACCACACCGACATCAAGGGCTCTCTCAACGCCATCGACCTATTCATCGAGCGCGGGATGAAGCCTGCCAAGATGAACCTCGGAATTGCCTTCTACGCCAAGTACTTTACCTTGGCTGCCAACACAACTTGCACTCAGCCTATCGGTTGCCCGATCGCGCTTGCCGAGGCCGCTGACGGCAGCGATACCGGTGCCTCGGGTGCCGATACCTTTGAGGCGAGCTCCTTCCCTGTCGTGGTCGACGTGGCCAAACTGACCGTCTCGACCGACGGATCTTGCGGTAGCTCGAACGACTTCAAGTGCACCGGTTCAGCCTACGGCTCCTGCTGCTCGCAGTACGGATGGTGCGGAAACACGACAGCCCATTGTTCGACTGGCTGCCAGAACGACTTTGGGACCTGCACGAACCCAGCGGTCAAGTCTACTGCCCAGTCGTTCCAGGACGCTCTCACGAACGGACAACTCGACTCTGCAAACGGCGGCCAGTGGTATGTCGACGATGTCGCGAATCTGTTCTGGACCTGGGACACGCCCGAGCTCATCACCAGGAAATTCCGTGAGATCATCGCCGCCCGTGGTCTCGGTGGAATCATGGCTTGGAGTCTTGCTGAGGATAGCGTTGACTGGCGCCTTCTGGAGGCGATGCAGGAGGGCTTCGAGGGCCTGAAGTCGAAGAAGTGATCTACCAAGATGTAATAGTCAAGCAAGGCATGCGATTGTACCAACAGATAAGTTCCAGATATTGCAGTATTTCGAACAGCAGATAGACTAGCACCGAAATATTAATATATATTGCACGGGAATCTACGGAAGAGAAAGTGTTTTAAGTTGCTAAAAAGTACACGCCTTCTAGGACTAATTTTTCCAACCCGGAGGAATTCCTATTCGTGCTTCCCATGATAATGCCGTACTTGTCGCACTCCAGGATGGCTACACCGAACGGAGGTCCGCCCTCTTGGGCGAGAACAAGACGGCTAACATTTTTGCTGCCGCTGCTCTCGCAAAAGACACTACCCTCTTTCTGGTCGCCGCCAAAGGCGACAATTTTCTCCTATACCCACTGTAGAGTGACGCGTTGATCGTAGAGGACAATGGTCACCATCAGCGGGACAGTGAGTCTGTTGGAGAAAAGAGAATAGTGAGCGATGGCAGCGCAAAACATTAACGAGCTAAGGGATGGACTTGCACAAGGAACCAAAACCTGGATTCACGTCCACAGAGTTGCTAAAGAGATGGAATATGCTGTTGACGGGACCATTGGTGACCGTAGAGGCAAGTTCTTTTATTTTTCTGGGACCGGGTACTGATGCAGCAAGGCCCGTGAAGAAAATTAAGAAGGCAGGATTTATGGTCTAGACCTTAACAAGGCCTTAGGACTCTACGGATGTCGTGGAGTATAATCAAGCATAGTAATATGCCTTCTTAGGCTCGACCATATTTGCTCTAGTGTCACTTTAACGGTATATCATTGTTGCACATAACAATTAGTATGATCGATAAGGTTGGAACGTAATCTCACTTTTGTTTTTTTTTGAGATCGAGTCGTGCCTCATTGGATTTGGCTTCAAGGGTTTGGAGCACAGTTACAATAACGCATTAATTGTGTATCACTTTGAAGAGGAGTTTAATATCGAGACAAAAGGTATATAACGGATATTTATAGCCGATCCCGCCTCTCCTAGAACTAAGAAACGCTGTGATTTTACCGTTAAAACGATGCCAATACGATGTCATGGTTCCTTAGCTTCTACTTCCGATACATATGCCCGTTTTGTGTACAGGGAACAAGGACAAGGCACAAAGTGCTTTGGGTCTTAAAAGTCAAATACTGCAATTGTAGAGTCGTTAATGTTTCCGTGTCTAAGATGCAAGTCAGGTCTAGATGATTACTCGGAGAGTGCACTCTTTCACCTGTTTCGGCTATGTTGGATCAGCCTTTGTGTCCTCTTGAAGATGTGGGGCCAACTTTTCAAAAGGCCGTTTTGATGCTGCCTGAAAGCTAGCTTGTGATTTGGCCGTAAATATTCGTGAAAACGTCGCGACTAAGAATGCTGTACGAAGCGGAAAACACTCTAGCGTCTGACTAGAGACATTTTTACTCGGACACCATCGCTCTTCTTTGAAAGCTTTGAAACCCTGTGTCTATTACCTTCATACGTGTGAGCAAGTCTACGACCTGCGATAATAATGACGAAATTGATAGACAACACATAATTCTAAGTCGGAAAAGAACGAGAAATGGGCGCTGTTTCTGGAGAGTTTTTTCTTAAAGTGGTTTGACTAGATTGGATTAATAAAAACCCGACAGTACACTGGCTTCCAGGAAGAAAAAGGTTCTGTAAAGTGTATAACTCGAAAACGCGGTACTTTGTTTTCAGAGCACTTATCCTAAGCGGGATGATGCGTGGCCAAGACTAAAACAGGGGCGCGGTTCTCGGGTTGGAAATCGAGCAGTCTCAAGAAGAATAACAGAGCGTGGTGTGGAGGTGCTGTACATATCGGGGATGTATTCTGCATTTGCATCTTTTACGTAGGAGAGAACAGGAGACGGATTCTTAACGTGTATTGACTTTCTTTATTCTCTCATAAAGAAAAATTGGCAGTAGATTCACCTGCTTCACTCGACAACACGATCGTAAACAGGTTTTATATATAAAGTAATATCATAGATTAGGTCATAAGGTGAGGGCTCCTTATGTCCCGGATTTAAATCGCGTAATGCAAGCTCTTCATCTTCAAACTACAAAAGAGAGCGTTGCTTCGAGGCCTTATCAACCCGTTCGTTCACTTCCGTATCTATCGGGAAAGTAAGAAGTTTGGTAATATTCCAGTCACACAATGTCATGGAAGCGATGAATCATGAATGGCCCGAACGCGTTGACGTGTCTGAGCTAGACGTTGTGGCCGCAATGTTTATATACGAGGGCTTACGCCCTACCTCTGTTTGATTTTCGAAAAAATGTCAGAATAACCTTTTATATTACGAAGAAGGAAGTTGGAAGTTGCATTAGAAGAGGGACATGACAACCAAACCTTGGATAGAAAACTAGTTTCTTCTTAAGAGCGTGTTCTTTGGTACTGCCCTAAAAGCACAGATTTTATTTTTATTAATAGGGGTAAGGGTGGGGGGGAGGAATTTGGCAGACCTAGTTCGAAATCATATGTTTATAGGACCGATTTCAACTACTAACTTGTTAGGGGTAAGCCGTGAAAAAACCACGTTGTACGGAGTAGTCCGTTTTCTTTAATGTTATTTTTTTCGGGGGGCGCGTAGAGGACGAATAGGGTTTTGTTATTTTATTTTATTTTATTTTATTTTTTGTAAGGTAATTATCATCAAGTCCCCATTTAATGGCAGTATACAGAGTACGATGCGGTTCAGTCAAGAAATGGGCGTACTCGAAGTACTAGAACTTACGGAGTATACTAAGGGCCACAGCGACTAACACATAACATTGTGAAAACTGATGAGGCGGAAGCTTGTTGTAAAAAAAGCCTATTCCTTAGCGGTTTGCACTTTTCATACATTTGAAAAACCTGGAATTTGTTGCATAATTGCTAAGTGTCGTTTATTTGGCTTTAATAATTATATACGGAGTACGGAGTACGGGCTGTAGGATTTCAGTGAGTGTGAAAAATATATTAGTTTTGTGATTTGTCGAATAATTCTCCGTAGTGTCAAGCTTATTGCTACAAAGAAGTCGGAAAAATGTTACAGTTGGACGCAATTAACGATTGTACACGGAGTGCTCCGTACGGAGTATCTCTTAAGGGGTGCCATACAGAAGTACTCCGTACCTTTCAGGGGACCTTGAGTTGCTACTGCACAGTGCCTTTAAGAAAGACATTCACGGAGTACTCGTAAGACTTCGCCACTGAAAATTGTAAAGAGACATATCGGTTAACATTAAAGCCCAGTTAGCACAAATAAAGCACAAAACAGTGTCCACGTCGAGGACTAGGGCAACCCTGGGAGGTGGTAAGACAGCTATGAGAACTAAACTCGCGTCGTCGGCCGGCTTAGCTTTTAAAGTCGAAAGATCGCCCACGAATGCCATTATGGCCTCTTCCAGCATTGAGTGACCACGTTGTCACAATACTGAATAGGTTTCCTCTACGGAGTAAGTCGTACATCTCTGACATTGCCCCTTTGGACACTATTCGCACCTTAGAGGAACGCTTATCTACAATATTCTGGCAAGAGCTAAAAAGCTACGATCCACAAGAAATTCGTAAGAGACTGATGAGCGGCAAAGAGGTCTTGTGAGTTTCGGATCAATGTTGAGATTGGAGGAGCTTTTCAAGTATGGGAGTCACGTGATTACCAGTATTTCGTGCAGGCCTACATGCTCCTGACCGGCGAGATATCCCTGTGACAGATCGTATACCGTAAATACTGATTAGACTTGAGCCTCGACAATAGTCGCGCTGAAGAAACACACTTTTCGCATCTTACTAGTAATCTGTGTACGTCAAAGGCATCATCATACTGAGTTGGTGTCCAAGCCCAATAAGATGCTGCAGTATTATCAGACCCGCTTGTTCAATCCTAATAGGTAAGGACGTGAGAGGCTCCAGTAGAATTCGCTCTCTAGGCCGCCGAGGGGCTTCTTAACTGTCAAATGTTGATACCAGCCTGCGCAATCCAGGTATGCCCCACGGAGTACGGAGTAAGATGCAGACTAAAGGTCGGTCACGCTCTGGAGAGACAATCTTCTAGCAATACGGCCGGCGAGTACTCCGAGCCAGCAAGCTCGAGGAACGGACCCATACTTGCCACTTATGATACGGAGAATATGGTGGTGGGTTAGGGAGAAGTGCCCGATGCCTAATTTGGTGGTCTATGTGCTAAGAACAGGCAATTCTACCGTTCGGCCATTCGGTGGCATCGCGAGAATGGTTCAGTCGGCATTGCAAGACCGATGACGTGGACGTTCATGCCTTCAACGAGACAAGGGCCTCAGCAGCCCACAAAGTCGCAGCGTTGCCATTGCTTTTATACGAGTACCTACGGAGTACTGTGTATGGGCAAGTGGCTGACTAATAATCGGCATTAAATCACAAACAAACGCGTTCGTTTAACCATTTTAGATGCAGATCAGCAGCAAGGATCCACTTTTGGCGGCCCTTCTTCTACATTGTACTCCGTACGTCGTAGGTGACGAGGTCTGAAGGAGCCGAATTTAGGTCCGAAGTGGGATCCCAGGCACACAAATCTCGTATTCGTGGGGGGTAGATCAACAGCCTACGTGTATGTACGTACGAGTAGTGAGATGTAATCGTACACTGTTCGCCACAGTTTAGGAGGGAAAAAAAGCGAGCGCGAAGTATGGAGTACTGGTCAGACGAGCCTTGGGGCGAAGCTGCTACTTTGCAAAATACGATTGCAGAGGGAGTATATGCGATACGGTATTGCTGTCTAGTCGGTCCGGTCAAAGTGGGTGCGTCAGAAGGTCAAATCCGGCGATATTTCTGCATTAGGACTAGCCTTCGTAGTCTTAGTCAGGCACTGGGACTGAAAATCTGTGACGGCAGCGTTAGTGCGTACTGGCGGATAGACCCGACTTGGCTGACCAGCAAGAAACAACGTCGCGACAGGCGGCCAGCTGCAGGAGATGGCCCTGACTGTGCGGCAGCGTACGAGTACCATTCGATTCGAACAACACTATTAAGCCGACATGCTGGTATTCCCTACATGCCCGCCAAGTGGTTTTCTCCAAAAGGCCAAATAACCGAAAATAATAGCGATGCCGGCGCTATTATCCAACTTTTTCTTTGCTCCGAAGTAGAAAATGTCGCCGAGATGTTGAAAGAAAAAAAATTCTCATCAGATTTTTGACAATTGCGCCGCGCCTAGTCAATCCCCACGTCATTGCTTGGCCGCCGCCCCCCTATCACCTGAGAAATCTCTTGTTTAATCGTTGCTCGCCGGCCCCGGCCGTCCTGAGGTCTCCTATTCCTGCTCCACCGATCGCGCCAGAAGGGCCGGCCTTGCTATGGGCGCGGCGGTCATGAGACTATGCTGCCCTTTCGCGTCCCGAGTACCACGCGATTACGGCGGACATCACTGTGCACAGCGGAGCTAGCTACTCCTCTCTTGGTCGTTATAATGGACGATTTCCTAGGCCTCAGTGAATCAATCCTCATGCTTCCACAGCAATCACAACTACACTTCACATACACTCAAAAGGTCTTCTACCAGACAAGAAAATGGCCACTCAAACAGTGACATCACGGGCCGGTATAACCCCCGCCTTGCCGGAGAACAGCAGCGGCACCACCACACCCAGAGTCGAAAAGATGCAGCCCGGCCTCGTCGACGGTCCTGTCCATGCTGTCAATGTTCGCACCATCGTCATGGGAATAATTGTTTCCACAACTGGATTCATGTTCGGCTACGAGGGTGGGTCTATCGGCGGCTACGTCGAGATGATGAACTTCCGCGAGCACTTCGGTGATACCATCAACTCCTCCGGCGAAATCACTCTAGGCAAGGTCCGCACCGGCTGCATGGTCGCCTTTCTTTGCATTGGCTGTCTGCTTGGTTCCCTGATCAGCGCCCCGTTCGCCGACCGCTTCGGCCGAAAGTACTGCATTGCCGCCTGGAGCACCCTCCATATTGTCGGCAATATTGTCCAGATATCCGCCTCCAAGCATTGGTACCAGGTCCCCATCGGCCGCCTCGTGGCCGGCCTCGCTGTCGGAGCTTGCTCTGTGCTCGCACCCATGTACCAGAGCGAGACTGCACCTCGCCAGGTCCGCTCTGTCCTGGTTAGTGCCTACCAGCTATTCATCACGCTCGGCATCTTTACGGCCTACTGCATCAACTACGGCACCGAGACCAGAAATGACACCGGCTCATGGCGCATCACCATGGGCTGCGGCTTTATCTCGCCCGTGGTTATCGGTGTTGGCATGCTCTTTATGCGCGAGTCGCCGCGCTGGGACTTTAGCCACGGCCACCCTGAAGCTGCTGCCCTTACCCTCTCGCTCGTTTCCAAGGTGCCTATCGAGCATGTTGAGATTCAGCATGAGCTAGCCGAGATGCGCGAAAAGCTCGCCGAGGAGGCAAACCAAGGTGAAACGAAGTGGCACGAGATTTTCACCGGCCCCGCCATGGCCCGGCGTACGATTGTTGGTGTCCTTATTCAGGCGCTTCAGCAACTCACCGGTGCAAACTTTTTCTTTTACTACGGTACCCAGATCTTTAGCTCCGTCGGCATCTCCAACTCATACGTAACCTCTATGATCCTGGGCGGCGTCAACTTTGGTTCCACTATTGTGGGTCTCTGGGTTAGTCAACGCTTTGGTCGTCGTCTCTGCCTTATAGTCGGCGGCGTCTGGATGGGCATATGCTTCCTTGTCTTCGCTTCTCTCGGCTCCTTCTCTCTCTACCCCGACTCGAACTTCAGCGACCCGAACGCGGTCACCAGCCGCGGCACTGGTGGCGCTATGATTGCCTTTGCCTGCCTCTTTATCTTCGGCTTTGCTACCACTGTACGTATCTCCAACTCTCTGCTATTGCACAGTTCGCTCGTTGTCCACTAACATTTTCTCTAGTGGGGCTGTCTTTGCTGGGCCATTGCTGGTGAGATGTACCCATCGCGTCACCGTGCCCGCTGCATGGCTCTTTGCATGGCCAGCAATTGGCTGTGGAACTTTTTGATCTCCTTCTTTACCCCATTTATCACGGCCGCGATCAACTACCGCTACGGCTATGTCTTTGCCGGGTGCTGCTTTGCGGGCGCCTTGTTGGTCTTCTTCTTCATCATCGAGTCGCACAACCGCAGCCTTGAGGAGGTTGATACTATGTATGTCAGGGGCGTTGTCCCATGGAAGAGTGCCAGCTGGACCCCCGACGACGAAGGTCCGGAGAACGGCGAGAACGGTGAGAAGGCTTCTTGAGCGATGAAGGTCTAGGTGAGGTGTGACATGTAGGAAACGAGTACGAACGTGTACGAACGAGTACGAGGGACGAAGTACGAAATCAGATAATACGTAATAGCAAACTCCTTATCTAGCGCCACCGGTTGTGTAAATAGAAATGTTTACATGAAGTTTGATTATTTCGCTTACGCTGTATTTGTTTCTGAATGTATTGTCGACTCGTGTCTGCTTCGGCGACTGATATTTGTACACACCTGTACAGATAAAACGGTAATAAGGTTCCACCTTATGAGTACGTCGTAGATTTCCATGGTGGCAGAAAAAAAATATAGGAGAATTGCTGTACTTCATAACTTAGTCTGGTTACCACGGAGTAGATAGCCCTTTTAGTTATAGCGTCTCCTTGTACTAGTTCCTACGTATTCAAGAGGCAGGGGTTCTTTCAATTTATATATAGCTGTAGGGGGGTGCCTTTTAACTTTGAAAGGCACTGGCAAAAATAATAATTTTATTGAAACCATTCCGTAGGTGGTGACGAAAATGGGGGATCGCTAAGGCGGCGAGGTTTTCTTTCCGCTTATATAAGGTAGGTCCTTATCACAATTTACGGTGTAATACGGAGTACTGTGGTTTCTACTCCGTGCACCACTAGTCTGTAACGCGAATGTGCTGCCTTCGCGTAATACCAGTGTAAGACCCGTACGATAATCCTTGTGCGATATACGTCCGGACCAGTTGCACGTATCGTAGTAAGCTTTAAGGCTTTCAGAAGATCTAGTGATAATATTTCGTAGGGTGGTTGACTGATTATTCTAGGTTTAAGTGTGTTGGGCGCCCTCCTTAGGGCGCAGTATTATCTAGTAATTTCGGGCGTCATGTAACCCCAAAATCACCCTAAAATCCACAATACGGAGTACAGGTGGCATCTTACAAACATTAATCGTCTTCTGCTTCGTGTCCTCCGTATTTAATAACTTTGTTAGAGGTTGTAGCCAATCAATCAGCAGTACCTAGGCTCGCAAAGGCGGATACGGGAGCACTGGCCTGCACAGATGAACTGCTTTTTTAAAACAATGAAGTTGTCAAGCATTGGAATCCGCCACACTGTGTGGAATCCGCCACACTGTAGCCCTACCACCCCACTTGACCGTAAGGGCCTTTGATTGGTCAGAAGGCACAAAAGCGGGTCATGGCACTAGTATTAATACGGACCCCCAGAAGGGTCGCGATGTATCTATTTCTTCCTTAGTACGGAGGTCCCTACCAAAAGTTCGTTCTCACCGCTTGTCTATAACTGCGGCAGTACATAGTGCAGAGTGTAAATAATACGGAGAAAGCTATTAGCGATGATACGCTGGAGCTTAGTGGATATTATCGCTAATATAATTCAATTACTAATATTTTTACAGGGCGCTTAGCACATAGGAATACGCTAACACTGCTGTAGTAAATACAGTAGCAATACATTACTAGCACTATACCCACCTTCTTATTTTGCCAAAGCGGTGAGAAAGAACTTTTGGTAGGGACCTCCGTACACAACACTCTTTCGCCCACACTAGACCCTATTCAGCCTCCTGCTCCTCACAGTGCATCACGTTATATGACCGCCACGTATAGCCTCCTTTAACCTTCACAGAAGTACATACTCCGTATGTATCTCGTAGGTAAGTGTGTAAGATGGCCCCCACACTAATGCACGAACGGGTGTGTGGATTCCTAGGAGATCTACGACGTAAGCGTGATCCCGTCCGTCGAGAAGCTGCCGAATACCAGTCACCAGGTCTTCATCAGATCTTCCCAACCGAGTCTAGCACCCTGCTTTCGTCCTCCAAAACTCCATGCCTAAATGAGGAGGTGGCTCTCATATGAGAGGCTCTATACTGGTGGCACGGACCTTCTTGGCTGCTGTCTTTACCTTCTAGGTTAACATATCATGTGGCCAACCAAGACGCTTTATTGCCTTTGTGATAGGCTTATTCTTCCCAGGTCAGGTCCCTTGCAGGTAATGAGCGAGTTGCATGACGTCAAACGGGCTCTTACCCAAGCCAAGAAACACTGTTCTCTTCATCGGTCCGACACGCCACACGACTGTTGTGTATACTGGGGCATGAGGGACGCCAAGATGTCGTCAATGAGAGTTCTGGCACATCTCTCTCTAACAACTAGTTAGCACCAGACACTGATGTCGCAAAAGCCATCTATCTGGAGGAGTTCATAAACAAAGAAACGACCAACAGGGTATTTCAGCGATATATAGGGAGGCAAAGGGCTTGGTCGGATTTATCTTATTTACCAGCAATAGAGGTAGTAGACGACCTCGGCGATGCCTAGGGCCATGTTTTTACGACGGCAGCGGTCGATATGAGGCCCTAGACTATTACAGACACTAAGATTTACTTGCATGAACGAAAAAGTTGGTAAGGAGTAAGAATGGACACGACCGAAATGAACGAGGTGTAGTATTGTCATACCCCCTCCCCTATACCATAGTGCAAAAGTGGGGTCCGTTTACCTCGTAGAATAGTAGGCAGGGCTATGTATGCCGAATTCTTATTTGGAACACGATGTCTGGTATGTAATATGGAGGCCAGAGAGGATGTCCAAAACAGTTGAACTTGCGGACCAGATTCATGTACTGTCATTCAGCTGCTATCGCAACTGCTATATTGAATTGCAGTGCCTTCTCTTTGAACCTACACTAATTTTTCATACTTGCTTATACCACCCTCGCCTCTGTCCGCCCTTGCCATGCATATAGCCCTCTCAGCACCCTACTGGACCTTGATGACTAGCTTACCGACCGTTTTCCGGGCAACCAGAGCATCTTGGGCCTTGCCGACCTCGTGCAGGCCATACTCGCCACCAATACTGACGGACAGACGACCCGACGCCACCAGGTCAACCAATTCGGCACTACGCTCGGAAAACTCCTCGCGCGTGGCAATGTAGTTGGTCAGCGTCGGCCGCACCAGCTTGATATTCTTGCGGCTTAGGTCCAGCGGCCGCACCGACTCAATGGCCCCGCTCGAATTGCCAAACGTCACAAACGTGCCCTTGCGCCGTGTCACGTTCATATCCGCCACCAACGTCGCTTTGCCGACGCCTGAGAAGACCGCGTGGCAGCCCTGGCCGTCGGTCAGCCGCAGCACCTCGGTTTCCATGTCGTCCTCGGCGTAGTTGATCACGTGATCGCACCCGTGCTTGCGCGCCACCTCGATCTTTGCCGGCGTCGAAGCGGTTCCAATCACGGTAGCCCCCAGGGCCTTGGCCATCTGTACGAGCAAACCACCCGTGCCACCGGCTGCGGCCTGCACCAGCACCGTCTCGCCAGCCTTGACGTCGTGGGCGTCGCGAACCAGCGTCCAGGCCGTCAACCCCTGCAGGATCAGAGCCGCCCCCTCCCTCGTCGACACGCTCTCCGGCAGTTTGAGAACCGTGCTCGCCTCTGCGGCCATGTACTCGGCCAGCGCCGCCGGACCAAACACGGCTACCCGGTCGCCCACCGCCAGCCCATACTCTGCCGGTACCGCCTCACCCACGTGCTCGATCACGCCACCGGCCTCGCGGCCGGCTGTTGCAGGAAGCACTGAAGTGTACAGCCCTGTCCGCAGGTACGTGTCGATAAAGTTGACGCCAGCATACTCGACTCGGATGAGCACCTGGCTGGCCTCGGCCGTCGGCTTCGGAATATCCACCACCGTAAGCACATCCGTGCTACCGTACTCGCTGAACTGAACCGCCTTCATCATTTTTCTCCTTCGGGACTTTGCGCGATGAATGGGAACAGTTGCTCCTCTGGTTGCCGTGGCGATGTTACGCAGCTGTACTGTTCTGTAGTTGATGGCGTTGTTCCGCCTGTCTTCTCGGGTTTCCAGCGCTTACAAATCGAAATTGTTGGCCGCCCCGCCGGATATTCGGATATCCAGTGTGTCCCTTAGCGTAGCTCGACCTGTTGATTGGACTGGACCCGAGTCAGAGTGGGTGTGAAATGAGGACTTGTGGTTGGATAAAAAGATACATGACGGAGTGCCCTGTGGCATATAGTGCCAAGCCCCATCTTTAGTAAGGGATTTCAGGCATAATTCGGAAGTAACTAATTCGTACTCCGTAGACACGGCAATACACGCATGCTCACCGGGTGCCCATGATCTGACACGACCAACCCTCTTTCTGCAGTACGGAGTACGGAGTAGTGGTATGTCTGTTGATTTGCTCGGTACGACGACTCATAATTACAGATCGGCGGCTGCTCCTCGGTGGATTTGATCTTCGGACGTAAGACTACATATGAGTACGTCCATTTATGCTACGATCGGCTACCGAAATAGTCGGAGAGGTACTAAAATTGCAAGCTGATCGAGTCTCTCACTAAACTGCGCCATTCACCGGGGCAGTCATAGAGCCAGTATATTTGATTCGAGATTTGCTTACTTACTCCGTAAGATACAATATTTGGATAAAAAATAACGCATTTTTCTACAAGATACCCCACCGGAGAGACTACACACTACTTCGCACACCAAAATGGCCACTGATTGAAAATTTCGACCACAATTTCTGTACCTCTTTACAGCGGCTTCGTAAATCACCAGCTATTGCCAAAAGACTGTTTCGACAAATATTCTGGTAACGTTTGAAATGCCTTCTCAAAGTTCGGGACATGGAACAGAACGGGACCCAAATGGCAAAACAGTCAGTGGAAACGCAGTCTCGGATATACCCCCGGGTACCTAGACCGGCGCCAGTGTTCTACGGAGTAAGTTGCTGTTACGGGTTGAGATCGGCGTGACTGGCCAGAACAGGAAAAGTTGTCAAGATTACAATTCTTATCTGGCTTGCGGAAATCACACACTTGACAGCTGAAAGCGGAGCGTCCGTAGGCACATTTTGTATCCCCCAACGCCATCCAAGGCTGTAAAAGCATAAACGAAAACACCGGGCGGTTTAGAGCAATACCAATTTTGTCGCCTTACACGTATCGATGCCATCCCATTTACAGATTCCACCTCTTTCTCTCCCACAGCCGGAGTGGCACATAAATAAGAGTGCACACGCCGACCGCCAAGAGCCAGCTAATGTCAGTCCCATACGGCGCCGGCCCGATGCCAAGCGCGATCGGACCAACCCACCACACCTGGTTCATGCACAGGAGCGACAAGACCGTGCCAACAACAAACGCCACAGACGCCGCAATACCATGAGGCAGCCTGCTTCGGTCGTCCCATGCCGCCAGATCGTACGCATAACCACGGCGCCAGATGAAGTGTTCCAACAACAAAATTGTGCAGAAAGGCGTGAGCCAGTAGGTGCAGATAGAGAGGAAGTTGGTCATAACATCGGCAAGAACGTTGCGGCCGGCAATGGAACAGGCCAACAAGACGCAGCCACCAAGCAGTGACCACACAAATCGAGGCACGACGAGAAGCTTCCCTGAGATCACTTGCACGCTGAGGCCGAGCGAATAAATGTTGGTGGATATGACAGCTGACGTTGAGAAGGCAATGAGAACCTCGATAAACTTGCCGAAGCCTGTGACACCGGAGCTGTTGTATGACTTGAAAATAACGCCGATGAGACCGCCAACGCCGCTGTTGTTGTAGGCGTCGGTAAACAAGCTGTCGGTGCTTTGGCTCAGCGTCCCGACGGCGACACCCAGCCACTCGATCAAAACCTGGGAGCTGAGCAGTCCGAGCAGCGTCCAGAGGCCGGTCTTTGTGGGGCTAATCGTGTCCTGTAGGTAGACGCCATAGTCGGCAGCAACGGGCAACCAGGCGAGTTCGTAGCCGATGATGGAAACGCCAAACGCAAACACATTGGACCTCTCGGTATCGCCCGAGCCCATCGGAATATTGACAAAGTGCTTCGCCCCAAATCCGGCCAGCAGGATGAAGCAGATCAACATAACAATCCACGAGTATCTGTCGTAGATGTGTAGAATTTTGTATCCGAGCAGGCCGAAGGCGAATCCGACCAGACACACGACGAGCACCGCCACTGCAAGGGGGAGCCGGCCACTTCCCACATCGTACAGAACGTCGCCGGAGGTGATGCCACTGACGATACCCCAGCCGATTTGGTTGATGCAGTTGAGAATGGCGATGACCTTGACGGGCCACCAGCCAAAGCTGTATCGGGGGATGATCATAGTGCGCAGACCCAGTTTTGGGCCAAGTGTAGCGCATATGACCGGCGGGATGACGCCGACGAGGTTGAAGAAGAGGACGCACAGGAACGAGTCCCACCATCCAAGTCCATAGGACGTAGGACCGAGATACCCAGTAGCCAAGGTGGTGACGTTGCAGTTGGCGGCCAGGAAGATGGTACAGAGGTCGATGGCCGGCTGATTCGTGCGCATTTCTTTGGTGATAGGCTCAATGCCAAACTCCTCAGCCCCGACGGAGCGAATCCACCGCCGAACATTTCCCAGTGCGCCTCCTCCCTGCTCGGCAGCTTCGATGGACCCAGACTGGTATTCAACATCGACGCTCGGGAATTTCGCCGTTTCCTTGGTTTCATAGCTGAGATCCATGGTAAATGTTAGGTCCTACTGACGAGGCAAGAAACGAAACTGAAGTTTGGGGCGTGATTGAAAGAGATGAGGCTAAAAGGACAAGACCCCATCACCTATAAAAAGAAGAGAGAAGGCGCATGCAATGCTTTACACGCCCAGTCCGCTGGACAGGCATCCTGCGATCGGTCGCATTAACCCAGCATATCGCCCGAAATCATCGCCCGTCACCCAGTCGGGCAACGGTTCAATTTGTGGGGTTCTTATCTATCGTCGATACTTGACCGTACTCCGTAGTGTAGCTCATACTCAGTGCACCGCTAGTCTGTAACGCGCGGTCAGTTCTGTGCGTACTACCTGCGTAGAAATACGGCAATCTCTGTGAGAGATGCGTCCGGACCGGTTGCACGTCTTGTGGTAGTCTCAAGGCCTTCAGGAGATATAGTAATGATGGACTGCGTGCGATGTGCGCGCAGTTCAGGGCGTAGTCTTATCTAGTGATTTCAGGCGGAGGTTAAGTGACCTCGGAAATCCACAGCAGTAGAGATGGGTGGGCTTGTAATAAGCCTTACATAGCCAAGCAGAAAGATAATACTTATGTGGATCTAGACTACGACCAGCACAGCACGACTGTGTGCCCTTGCACAGAGCTACGCCCTGTGATGTACGGAATAAATCTAGGGGCATTTGCTAAGTGGTTCGCTATTCCGTTCGCCACCGCCTTCTATTTTACCCCGTGCATGTATCTTACTTACGCATCTTACATGCTACCTGCCGCTTATCTCTGTGTCGGAGGGGCCGCTATGCAAAGAGCGTTATCGCGCACCTCGCCTCCTTTGTAACGTTTATCATTTCACTCTGAACAGCATTAACCCCTACGACGTAAGGCGCCGTTGCGCTGCGATGCCTCCCAACCTCGCAGACCCGTCCAAGGTGGGCGACTAGATATCTTACGTGTCTTATCAACCGTAATATTGGGTGTGTGATCTCAAAATACTCGCATATCTTGCCGTAGCACCCATGCATTTCTTGCCGTAGCACCCATGCATTTTCTGCCGGTCCATATCTGCGGGGCATAAAGAGTACTCCGTACAAGTACATCACTCCGTCGTTGTTTGCTATTGTGGCTTCTACTCCGTGCACCACTAGTCTGTCACGCACGTTCTGCGTGATCACCAGTGTAAGACCCGTACGGTAATCCTTGTGGGATATTCGTCCGGACCAGTTGCACGTATCGTAGTAAGCTCTAAAGCCTTCAGAAGATCTAGTGATGGTATTTCGTTCGGTGGTTGACTGATTGAAGACCAGACTGTGCGCAGTATGCGCGCAGATCAGGGCTTCGTCTTATCTAGTAATTTCGGCGGCCGAGGTCAAGTCAGGTGACCTCGGGGAAATCCACACTATGCTGGTACAAAAAAATTGCCACAGGCACGTGGCGATGCCATCATTGGTTATAAGTGTCATGCCTGCCTTTATATTACTTTCATGTATCCTAACCTGCGATACACCAAAGCCTTCTAAAGAGACTCCTATAAAGAACATATACCAAGATGCGATAGGCCGAACGACGCTATCGCGTAGTAGATAAAGGTCTTTTTCGGCCGTGAGCAACAAGGTTCTACTCGTATAGCCTCTTTTAACCTTCACAGTATGTTATTGTTGCGCGGTGGTGCACGGACCACCTCTAGTGCAGAGTTTTCAGCCCAGACTGCCTCTAGCTTTAGATAACTGTCTTCCTTCTGAATACACTTTAGATAACTGTCTTCCTTCTGAATACAACGATCTTCGCCTCATTAGGCATGGACGTCTAATCTAGGAGGAACTACGGACTACACTTTGCCGAACATGTGCCGGACTACAGCTTTATGTCAAGACCTACCCGAGGATGCCGTATCGCGCATAACTCTTCTTTACGGTGACCACTCCAGGTAGCGCCCTCCGTGTTGAGGGACCGCGCATATTTCAGGCAGGCGGGTACACAGGCACAACACACACAGGCCTAGAGCTTCTTTTTACGCCTTAGTCGCTACTGTGTACGCTGAGCAGCCCGGCTCTGCCCTCTTGGAATCGGCTTCTGCCATCTCCAGTCTCTTCCTTCGTCTGTTGTCTAGCGTCCGGGCTCCCCCGCTTCTAGCCCTGCTGCTGCTTATCCATTTTGTCTGCGAGGTCGTCCCATGCCTGCCTTCTCATTCTACCGCCTTACCTGCTAACTTTCGAGTTTCGGTATCGGCCTCATAGACACTGTCTAGCCGATATGTTTCAGCCAGATTCTGGACTATTACAACCTAGAGATGTCAATGTGTCCGCTTTGAGCAGGACGTAAACTTAAAGTCATGGCAACGCTCTCTACAAGCATAGCTCTGATGGGACGGATTTACCTCAACGTTGTCCGAGACACGGGCGGTTGGACGTACGCAGCCAACAGTACTAGCCACGGACTGCACAGGCGGAAGAGTTGTGGGGAATGAAAGCGCCAAGGAAGGCTAGATGTCTTTTTTATCTTGTTTTTACAATGTCACCTATCTAGTCCACACCACGGATAGTATCTTGCAAAGTAAGATACTCCGTATACTATATACTCCGTACAGAGTACTTTACCATACTATGTAAGATAGCTTCGTGTTCTTCCCAGCACGACGCTTCCCAGAACCTACCATCTCCGCGCACGACTTGTTACATAGTATGGCAAGTCACGGGCCGTCGTTTGAAACCATGCGGCCTGTGCAGTAGCGAACAGGGGGCAGGGGTAGGCGACAAGGTTTGGTCGGGAAATAAAAGAGCAGAAAAACTACTATGTAGGGAAAAGGACGTATGCTCTTTCAGGCATAACTGCCGTCTGAGATGCCGCACGCTAGTACTCTTTGTGTTTCATATTTGATTGCTAACATGCATCGCCATTTTTGCGACGTTAGACAGCTGCAGTAGTACGTGGCCTTTGCTTTAGGCCCGCAGGCTCCGCTTTTAAGATGTAAGGTATATCCGTGATTTGGTTTACCGTGTCCTTCCGGATCTACATGTAAGATACTATACAGTGTCCTACGGAGTAAGGAATATTAGGTTGGTCTAGAGGGCAAATCGAAAGCCCCGGCATAACAACAAGCATCCCAACGATTATGTGTCTGTTAATGGGGGCTGAAGATAAGGATTGCACACTGGTTCCGATCAGAAAGGCAGTCTGATAAGGCGAAGATCGTTGTATTCAGAAGGAAGACAGCTATCTAAGGCTAGAGGAAGTCTGGGCTGAAAACTCTGCACTAGAGGTGGTCCGTGCCACCACCGCGCAACACAGTCTCTACGCCGGCTTCCTAAGACACGCGCTGTCTGCTCTACAATTCGCTGCCGTATGACGCCGTAGGAGCGAAGGAGCTAAGCCCTTGTTAGTGACGGAAACATAACCTGCACACTAAGATAAGGAAATTAGCTAGCGACCGTCTAAGGAGTGGATTATGTTACTAAAAGCTGAAAAAATGAGCAAAATAATATGATTTGCCGGCTCCACATTAGGCTACTTCAGGATCAAAGTACGAAGGAATAGAATCCGGTTTCATCCGCCCTAGATTTGTCCCGCATGTACTACGTCGTATGTAACAGTACCTAGGTAAGGTGTCTTAACAGACTCGTAGTAGGGAGGAACATCCACGTCTTCGTTATTGCCGGCACAAAACTCAGGACGCATTGGGACAGCTATAAGAGTTCGGACGGTCGAACCCAGCAGTGGTACATAGTATTCCACAGTCATAAAATTGGTCCTGATTGAGGACCGGCGGAAAGCTAGTCGGGAACATAGGTTCTCTGTGGAGATGAATACGCACGTGGAGGTCTCAAAGACACCCATTTGGCACGGATATAACGGGCCATGCAATCTTGCAGCTTCCAACCTGGCCAATGTGTGCAAGACTTGTATTGTTTCTTCCTTACATGTATTGCACATAAGAGTAAAAGTACATTTTCACTAGTAAGCTGCGCCTCTGCTACAGGTATAGCTCCCTTCAAGCTTAGCCCATATAAGAACGCTTCCTCTCTTTGTTATGTATGGCCTTCTAGTCTTAAAATGCAGAGAAGAAGGATTTTCTGTCAAATTGAAACTGCAACATGAGTCTATTTTTGGGCCTCACTTCTCTTTTGGTGGCATTTGCTAGCGAAGCTAAGGCGGATGATGCGACGTACAATGTAAACGCCATCTGTACCTGGTAGGATGGCCGACTATTTGTGCACTACCGAACTCATGCTGATGTATGTTCACAGTGACCAAATGATGCGCTACTATGGGACCTCGCATACGGGGCTCTGGGGTGGGTCATGGTGGGAGTCTGCTATTTTGATGGCATCTCTCGCCGACATTTCATCGCTCGACTCGACCTACAATGGGACATACTTTGGCACGTATGCAACGACTTACGCCAATGCACCCAGCTTCAATGGCTATACCGGTTTCATCGACGACTACTACGATGATGAAGGCTGGTGGGCCAATGCATGGATCTCCGTGTACGATTTAACTAAGAACCCGAGCTACTTAGATCTGGCTGTGAGTCTTTACAACGACATTTCTGGCGGAGAGTCAACATGTGGAGGTATATACTGGGAAAAAGGCCACTCGTACGTTGCTGCTATCGCAAATGGTAAGCAACCTAGCACATGATCCATAAGCAACGACGACTAAGATATTATGGCAGAGCTCTATATCAATCTTGCCGCTAGCTTGGCAAACCGAGCTCCCGAAGATGCTCGTCAGGGCTATCTGGAAGAGGCGATGACCAAATGGGATTGGGTTTTCAACTCTGGCCTCGTCGGCTCCGACTGGCTCATCATTGATGGCGTCGATGGCGACTCCTGCGTAGCCGAAGGGAACAAATATTCCTACAACCAGGGTGTTATTCTCGGCGCCGCAGTTGAGCTGTACAAAGCAACGGGAAACGCAACGTACCTTGAGCTTGCAGGAAACGTTGCTGATGCTGTCACGGCGGCTGGCTCTGCATTCACCAATCATAATGGAGTCATCACAGACTGCGACGGTGGCTGCGACGATCAGGGAGATATGTTTAAAGGACCCCTCTTCCGTGGATTGAGACAATTGCAGCTTGCCGACCCCCATAGTAACTGGGAGACTTGGATCACGACAAATGCCCAATCGCTTTGGAACAATGCCCTAAATGTCACAGTTGTTGACGGGGCATCCGAATGCAACACCGGGGCCGATTTTAGTGGCCCAATGACATCAGTGAATGAAATTACACAGGGAGCCGCTTTGGATTGTCTTGTTGCTGCCTGGGCTGTTACGGCATAACCTTTATCACCAGGTAAAAGTACTTAAATCTGAGGTATAAATATCGTACTACACGCGTTTGCGCCTGGCTTTCCACCGTCGAGCACATTGTATACTATTTAAAAAGAACGACAAAATACATGTGCTACTAAAGACTACAGCTTGTGTTAAAGTTGAGAATCCTACTTTATGCATAAATACTAAACTTCGTGTTTAGTTATAAACTAGATACTTAACGGAAAGCAGCACATCTCGGACGTGGTTTTCAAAAACTAAAACTAATACGCATTCTTGGCACTGGGGTCCGCCTTCAGAATGCAAGCGTGACCAGCGGAAATACTTAGGGCAATGACTGGCCTTGGACCGTCAAGCCGAAGAAACGAAGCCGGGATTAGCTTTTCGTTCTTGTGTCCAAGACAGGCATTAGGGTCGGTTGTGCAGTGCACAGTGCCGTAATCTACTACAGAGATGGCACGAGCACACATTGTAATCTGGAAGGCAAGAATGACTAAGGCCTTGATATAGGCAGCCATTAGGAAAAAACATAGCGCTATCCCGAAGACCTTAATATAGCGATGGCCGTAGTGACAAAGTCGAAGTCTTAGGACTTAGGCAGTCTAGATCGTCCCGTCAAATGCTATAGCTATAGGAGCTTTGGCCATAGGAGACGGGAATGAGTTAGAAATGCTAGTAACAGACAATGCTGTTTGCATTTGCATACTCCTACTCAGATTTTATTTCTACAAGAGTCTGTGATTGTCGCTGCCTTCTACGCATAGTACAGAGTGTTGGCCAATTGTTCTTCCGAAAAGTGTCCCGGATTTTGCTAATCGTGTTCGACACCTTCTTCGCTCCTTCTTCTCAGGGATTTTACCATCACTCAAAGGGCAAGCGACATGGATACACGACATCGCATATCTCAATTGATTGAACATCTCGGGACCTCTGGAATATTACTTGTGTAATGGGAAACGACTCTGCTGACTCGGCTCGGCTACCCACTCGCACGAGACAATGTATGTCGTTGCCTGTCTCCTTTTACGCACACGCGTGCTAACGAATTTAGAGCTTGTTCCTGCTAGTCTCAGATGAATCCCTTCCATCAATATGCAAAATAGCTACCGGCTGCGGCCTGCACCCGGCTAACGATGCAACGCTTCGGCCTGCCTATGAATGCGAGTTTGCCCCTAACGCTCTGCGATACCTCGTTAACGACTCACCACCCTTTGGAGAAGCTCCACGAGATCGTCTAGTCTTTGTTCCCATATCGTGGACAGGTCTTCGTCGTGATGAGCTGGTCCCCATATCAGAAGACGGCGAGCCTAACCCGCCTCCGCGCACGCCAAGAAACGGCAAAGCTCCCAAAGTCCCGTGCAATGTTCTAACGGTCCCCCTTCCCGCTACTTGTGCCGCGCTGGCCCACATTTCTTCTAGTAAGGAAATCAGCGGACACAAACGGGAGCAAATTCTTACACAAGCGTTTTCTGTACTTTGTTATAATCTTATCGACAATAGCTACGACGGAGACTACGTGGAGTTCCTTGCGAACGATGTACCCCTGTCCAGTGAAGAACAGCGAGAAATTGCCCAGGCCACGGCTGAGATAAGGCAGTGGAAACTGCGGCCGGACCAGGGGTGGCTGAAGGAGGATTGTGTCTATGATATGTTGTAAAAAGTCGTGCACGGATTCGCCTCTTGTGGTTAAAACAAACAAAGTTTGATTGTGGCCTACCCGTGCACACAAGCGTTACACTGCGTTACGCGTCAGAAAGAACAGAAGAAAAAAGAAACTCTTAATTTATCGGTGATGGTGCTCGACATAAATGCTGAAGAGACATGCGATTTAAATGAGTCGTACCTTTCTGTATCTGGGACATCTGTGATTGAACTGCAAAGTTGTGGTTGTCGGGCCCGGATCGCCAAACGATCAGCCGCCCACGGCAATAAGGATATTAAGGGTTTCGTCCAGTTTCCTAAGGTTCGCCATCCGCTCGCACAGGCCAACATCGGACTGATCGGCCGGGTCAATATTAAAAGTCGTGGGGTCGATGCTGGCATAATCAAAGTTCATGTGGACGCCGGCTGGTATCTGCTGGGGTAGAAGCGGTTGCACACCCGGCTAGGTGCCCAGCCTTCATAGTAGTCCATAACGAGCTTGAAATGGCTGCTCTGGTCGACGTCACAGATGGGCCGATCCACCGTTTGTGCCACAGAACACGTAGGCGCTGCCGCAAAAGTCCTAAGATGCTTAGAGCAGCAGACCTAACAGAGAGAGAGAAACAGAGTCAACCCCTCTATCATAAACAAGACAGCAACCCTGCCGCGAAAGACGGAGCATCGATTAGGTCACAAATATTAAGCGGGCAAGTAGTCTTGAGGGCGATAGTAGTCACCATAACCGCCAGGGTCGCAGTCAGCCTTGCGAGCGCAGTTGTTCATGCAGACTTTGAACGAGCAATCTGGGCGTCGAGTTAGTGGCTGCCATGATTTTCGCGGGTGTGTTGCTATTACATGATCTGCTGTGCTAGACTCTCTGTGAACCTATTCAACACCCTTGCGACCTGTAACCCCATGAAAGGGTTAAAATGCACGTCAGCATACATGCTTACTAGCCGCATATAATTCAACAGGTTTTCTTCTTACGGTATACCAAGAAGCAAGCTTACAAGAGCATAAAATAACTACTTAATCCTCGCCTTGCTTAGGCGACATTGCCAAGGTGCACAAGGCCAATCTAACTGCCGTTCTAGAGCGGACAGCTACGCCAATTCCAGGCCGTGTTGTTATCCTCTATCGTAGTGAACGCTAGGCCTATGTATGATTTGACCTGCCTTAATACAGCCGTCGTTGGGGGGTGACTTCGACGCGCGACGTGCCGCTAATGATACCACGCTGAGGAAGCTCGTGGTCCTAGACCGTGGCGCATATCGCCTAATTGGCACATTATCCTTACGTGATAATATATTCTGTGAGGGGGTAGAGGCAGCCTAAAGTAGCGCGAGCACTGCGGCAGTAAAAACTCTGCACCGAGACCTACAGGGTTACGCGCAACAGATTCTTGTAAGAGAAGGTGATTAGCGCTGCACTAAGAAATTAGGAAGGTCGATAACAAAGTAGCATTTGGGTAGCTGCTGCCGTAAACAGTAAACAGCCAAGAAAATACGTATTAATGTCTATCGACCTGCTTAAAACGGCTTAGCGTTTTACGTCATGGAATAGACCTATCTTAGCGAAAGCTTGTCAAGCGACCTATCGTCTGATCCACCGTACACAACATATTGTGCTTAAGGCCGCCAAAAGAAAGCTAAAATCGTAAGCCAATAGGACAAGATAGCGGAATTAGTGTTGCGTATTATAAAGCCTATCTTTTAATACGTCGTAGGACCAAAGAGGCAGCAGGGTAAGGAGGCGATGTCTCTAGGCGCACTACTCTTATTGTAGCCACTAGTCCGCCCGCTAATCGAGATAAGAGGCCGTGGCCCTATACGCTACTCGCGTCGTATGTTACAAGGTTGGAGTATTGAGTCCTTCAAAGGGGGGTAATACAAGTAGCATCGGCAAGGACAAAAGATACCGCCCCTAGAGTATAATTATGCGAGCAGCCCCAGTCTTCCTTCGCCATCAATCTACGCTGGAAGTTCCTATCTAACCCAAGATCTTGGTGCCGTATTGCCTGCAATGCCGCTTACTTTCCGCTCTAAGAGAACAGCCGACCCCGGCGAAAGCATCGGCGTGGATGCGGGCAGAAACCAAATCCTCCCCGACAATGGGAATGGGAATGGGAATGAAAAGATCATCATGGCCCCACCTGCAGAGGAGTTGACAGACGCGGAGGCTGCTCGGCGGCTCAAGCTCTTCCGCCAGCAGGCCTTGGTCGACCCGAACATTCCGCTCGAAGACATCGATGCCATCGACCAAGCCGTCGACAGCCATGACGTCAAGATGGAAAATGACCTTGTCCTGGAAGTCGTCGATGACTCACCCTACCCTGAGTGCGCCCTTCCTTCTTCCCCCTCCTCCCCCGTCCATAGTAAAACAGTCTGGCTAACACGGTGGCAAGAGTGCGTTCTGCGGTGCACAATTATGACGAGGATCTGCCGGCTAATACGATCCGTGCCTGGACCATCGGCATGATTATGACAACCATTTTCTCAGGTCTTAACTGTCTCTTCTCTCTCCGGTCGCCCTCTATAACCATCACGTCCATTGTGGCTCAGTTGATCGCCTACCCTATCGGCATGTTCTGGACATACATCTTCCCAGACCGTGTGTTCAAGATAGGCCGTGTAGAGTTCAACTTGAGCCCGGGGCCATTCAACTATAAAGAGCACGGCCTTATCGTCCTTATGTCCAACGCAGCCTATGGTGGCGGGGCCGGGTACTTTACCGACATCTTGACGGCGCAAGTAGGCTTCTACAAGTTTGACTTTGGCTGGGGCTACGCTATCTGCTTGGCCCTGTCGACGCAGTGCATCGGCTTCGGCCTTGCAGGCATCGCGCGCAAGTTCCTCGTCGAGCCGGCGTCTATGATCTGGCCGGCCAACCTGGTCAACACCGTCTTCATGTACACGCTGCATGACCACTCCAAGACGGACCCGGCCAAGGCCAACGGCTGGAAAATCAGCCGCTACCACTACTTTTTTTACGTCTTCCTCGGCTCCTTTTGCTGGTACTGGATCCCGGGCTTTCTCTTCCAAGCCCTCAGCGCCTTCGTTTTCCCAACCTTTATCGCGCCCCACAACGTGACCGTGAATCAGGTCTTTGGCGGTTGGACGGGCATGGGCCTGCTGCCTATTACGTTTGACTGGACCCAAATTAGCGGCTACAACTTCTCGCCGCTGATTGCGCCCTGGCACGCGCTTATGAACACGCTGATCGGTGTTGTTTTCTTTTTCTGGATCGTCGCCGCCGGCATCCATTGGACTGGTACCTGGTACGCCGACTGGCTGCCATTCAGCGACTCCGGCAGCTGGGACAACACACAGCATTCATACAACGTGAGCCGTATCATAACGGCGGACCATCGCCTCGACCTTACAGCCTACAAGGAATACTCGCCCCTTTTCCTCTCTACCACATTTGCCTTGTGCTACGGCCTGTCCTTTGCTGGCATCGCTTCCGTCGTTGTGCACACCGCCCTCTTCCACTCCCGTGAAATCTGGCAGCGTTGGCGCGACCGCAGCGGCACGCTTGACGATGTGCATGCTAAGATGATGCGCAAGTATAACCCTGTGCCGGACTGGTGGTTTCTTTGCATCTTTTTGCCGTGCTTCGCGCTATGCTTTGTCTCTGCGTACGTCTGGGATACCGGCCTAACTTGGTGGGCTATTATCATTGCCATTATCATATCATCTGTGTGGATGATTCCCGTCGGCATGGTCCAGGCCGTTACCAACGTCCAGATTGGCCTCAACGTCTTCACCGAGTTCATCGTTGGTTACATGCTCCCCGGCAGGCCTAATGCCATGATGATGTTCAAGACCTACGGCTACATTACCATGACTCAGGGTCTTATGTTCGTGCAGGACATGAAGCTCGGTCATTACCTTAAGCTACCGCCTCGCACCATGTTCTTTGGCCAGCTTATTGCCACTGTCTGGGCTTGCCTTGTACAGATCGCCGTTTTTTACTGTAAGGATTTTTGTCTGTCAATGGTATATGTATCATCGGCTAACTTGCCCCAGGGGCCATGGGAGCCTTAGATGGCATCTGCACCAGCGAAGCCGTTAGCCGCTTTACCTGCCCCGGTGGCAAGGTTTTCTTCACAGCTTCTAGTAAGTCGGGTTATGCTAATATTCATTACAATACTATCCGAAGTTCCATTTGCTAACGGACTTTGCGCAGTTATCTGGGGACTTATTGGTCCACAGCGTATCTTCAGCGGCACTGGCATCTACAAAAACCTGCAATACTTCTGGATCGCCGGTGTTGTGCTGCCCATCATCTTCTGGGCTTTCCAGCGCCGTTACCCTAAATCCTTTGTCCGCTATCTAAGCGCCCCTATCATCTTCTCCGGCAACGGCCAGATCCCTCCTGCGACGCCGCTGAACTATTTGGCCTGGGGCTCGATCGGACTGTTCTTCAACTACGGCATCCGCAACAAGTTCCGCGGCTGGTGGATGCGTTTCAACTACATCACGTCTGCGGGTCTCGACACAGGCCTTGTTATTTGCACCATACTTATTGTGCTGACTATTAGCTTGACTAGCACGTCGGCACCTAAGTGGTGGGGCAACGTTGGCGCCCTTAACACGATGGATTATAACGACGAAGCCTGGTATAATAACGTGGCTGATGGCGAGAAATTTGGTCCTAAAAATTGGTAAATGTTGTATGCGCTATAAGACATCTTGCAGGCAATACTAGTTGCTAAAGGATTATATAAGTGTTTGCTTAATTAAGTAACTTTTGCTAAAAAATAATTCGTATTAATAAACATCCAATTCGCTTATTATAATAAGTCGATTAAGCCCCTTTCTGCGCACCGCCCCATTTCGCGCATTTTTTTCGGCTTTAAACTCATATACTCCCATTACTTTCAATCTAAGACGGCGCTTCCTAGCCAGTTATAAGGTTAAATACACATATAAAAAATCATCCATGCGCACTTCTGCTACCTTAGTAGATGTTCTTTAAGGCTGTAGCTGCCTTTCTAGTTATTAGCGCACCTGTATAACGTCTTTAATATGTATAAAATTGTTATTAGCATCTAGCGGCACTTTCTTTTGCTTTTTCTGCTTATTTGCTGCTAGTTTAGCCTTTAGGCTATTAATTTAAAGCCCCTGAAGTGCTAAAGCACTGTTTTTGCTGTTTATTGCATTACTAGCCTTTATAAATAAGCAACGAATTATATTATTTAGCTATATTGTTTAGCTTGCTAAGATAGGGTGTTAGTGTATATCTTTGCTTAATAATAAAGTTGAAAACATAGCTTTTTTAATGATATCTTTCTGAGTAGCGTTTTTATATATATTTTAGATTGTTTTAGGTGTTTTTAGTTAAAAGAAAGTATAAGTTAATTTAAAAACACATAGCGTAAAGATATAGGCTAAAGACTAGTTACTTTCTATCTACTTTCAATATTTTCCAGCTTAAAAGTGTCTTTTTATACTTTAAAAGTAATAAAAAAGAAAGTCTTACTTCCTTTTATAGCTTATATTACTTCAAAAAGGTAGGTAGATTTAAAATGTAGTAGTAATATTATACGTTTTATAGTAAAAAGTATAATACGCTAAGTAGTTAAGTAATGTAAAAGAAGTATAAAGAAAAGACTAAAAGCTAAACTTTATTATTTATATATAAAAGTATAAATTTATCTATAACGTAGCTACTATTAACACAGCATTATTGTATCTACGCACTCCGCTTTTATTTTTAGGTTTTTAACCTTTACATTATATAGCGCAAAAGCATATTATTCTGCCCTATAGCGTAGTCTGCTTATATAAAGGTTAAAGAAGGTTATACATAGCAGTTATATAACGTAATACACTATAAGAAGCAAGGGGCTAAATAGGGTCTAGTGTAGGCAAAAAGTGTTGTATACTAAGAAAGAAATAAATACATCGCGACCCTTCTAGGGATCCGTATTAATACTAGTGCTAGGCCTCGCTTTTGTTCCTTCTAACTAATTATAGGCCTATATAGCTAAGTAGGGCAGAAGGGCTATAGTGCAGCGGATTTTAATGCTTAACACTTCTTTTAAATACGCTATATAAGTATACTATAATGCATTAAAATTATTCTTAGTAGCCCTTTTATAGTTGCTAGCCTATTAAGTAAGGTAATAGCCTTTTAAACACTACCTTAAGCAGCGCCTTTATTATAATATTAGTAATTTAATCTTTAAACTTTATATACTATACTATTAATAAGCTGCTTAGCACGCTTTTATAAAAGTAGTACTACTTAATATTAAAGTACTTTAACTACTTTTTAAATTTAAGATTTTTTATAATACTAATTATAAAGGTATTCTTTATAAACATTTAAATGTTAGCTTAAAGGCTTATTTTAAGTATATGTTACTTAATTTAGCAAGCTTATATTATTACGTAGTAAGCGGCGCTATATCTAGCTTTATAAGTAAAGGTACTAATAGTTAAAAGCTTTTAAGATTTCTAAAAGACTAGCTTTTCTAAAATCTTAAAGATAAAGCTATATATAAAGTAATACTTAACTAGATTATTAGCTTAAGATATATTAACTTATTTTTTAACGTAAATATGCCTTTTTAAAGAAGGCTTTTAATAGTAGTAAACTATTATATAATCTTTTTTACCTTATAAGTAGTAAAGCGATTGCTTGGCTATAAGGGTATTTTATACACGCGTCCTTATGCACTAGTTTAGCAACTAGTTGCTTACTAAGCGTTAAACTTAACAAACTATCTTAATACATTATATAAGATTAGCACCGCTACTAAAAGCAAAGGTAGAGTAAGGCCTTAGCTTAAACTAACAACAACACACATACCTACTAACGTATAAATGTAATTATGCATAAAGAGAGGTACTATAAAGTACCTTCCTTCGTTAGAAGGTAGGGGCAGCATATAGCTAGTCTAAAAGGGAAGAAGGAGGAAAGCTATATAAGCTTACCTTATAATCTTAAAAGAGATAACAAAATAAGACTACCTAGCAAAGTCTTAGGCGTAGTCTATACTTTATAAGTATACTATATATATTTATAACTAATTAATTCTTTATATATATGTTTGCTTATCTCTTTCTTTTAAGATGAAGGAAGAAAAGAGGGTTTTTATATATTTAAAGTATATAAGTAGTAATAGAAGGTATAAATTTTTTATATTTAATTAGTTAGGAAAAGTAGGGTAGGTTATATAATAATATAGTATCTTATAAGAGTTTAGATTTGTTATTTTATATAGCTAGAATAGGTGTTCTTAAGAGTATACTTTTCCTTATTACTAAGTAATAAAGAAAAGTGCACCCCTAGGAACACTTATTCCGGCCGCACAGAATAACAAATCTGGACCCTTGCAAGATACTATATTATTATATAACTTACCCTACTTTTCCTAACCAGTTAGATGTAGAACAATTTATGCCTTCTATTACTACTTACACACTTTATATATATAAAAACCCTCTCTTCTTCCCTCTTCTTAAAGAAAGAAGGATAAGCAAAGATATATATATAGAATTAATTAGTTATAAAGACATATAGTATACTTGTAAAGTATAGACTACGCCTAAGACTTTGCTAGGTAGGCTTATTTTGTTATCTCTTTTAAGATTATAAGGTAAGCCTGCATAGCTTTCTTCCTTCTTTCCTTTTAGACTAGCTATATACTGCCCTTACCTTTTAATAAAGAAAGGTGCTTCATAGTACCTCTCTTTATGCATAATTACATTTATACGTTAGTAGGTGTATATGTTGTTATTAGTTTAAGCTAAGGCCTTACCCTACCTTTGCTTTTACTAGTAGATTTATTTAGATTTAATAATAAGTAGTAAGTATAATAATATGCTTTTATTTATTAAATTTAGTAATATAAACAAAGATAATACTAAGTTTAAAATAATAATATAAAGGTAAGCAATACATTTTCTTAAATATAAAACGTTAGCTACGTTAAAATCTCTTTACTATACTATATATACTTCTATTACTTTATTATAACAATATAATATTATAACTATAAACAAAAGCTAACTAAAAGCTATTAAAGTAAATAGTCTTAAACTCTTTAATGCTATGTATAAACGTATACAAAAATAACTCTATTTAGTAATTAAGCAAAAGGCGCATTTTAGTAGTCTTTAACTACGTACCTTAATTATGAGTAAGAAGATAAAGGAAAGGACTTAAGAGTAGCCTATATAAAATAAATCTATAATAAACTAAAGAAGTAGTACTTTTATAGTAAGAAACTTTCTTTTTAGGATTTTAAAAGAACTTTAAAGATATAAATGTCTACTTCTTATATAAAAATAAAGCCTATAGAAGATCTATAATAATATAGATAATTATATAGAATAGAATAAGCGCCTAAGAAAAGTGTTTAATAGAAGACTATTATTAAAATAGTTATTTACGTTCTTATATAAAGAAAAAGTAAGTAGGACTTAAATATAAAGATTGCTTTTACTAAAAATAAAGTATTTAAAAACTAAAGCTATATAAAGCCAACTTTATAATTATTATACCTTATTATAAATAATAAAATTATAAGGAATATAATAAGTAGAAAGTAAGATCTTAATATTATAAAGAGCGTAATAGTTAAAATTATTACCTTTTTATACTTTATAAAGGAGTTTATATAACTAAGATAGTATGTTTAAGATCTAAAAAGGGTTTTTATTATATAAGGCTATAATGCTAATAAAGACTAAGTATTAAAAACTATTATCTTATAATATACCTTATAAGTTAAAATAAAGCTAAAACCCTTTAATTTAAAAGGAAAAGAAGAGTTTAACATTAAAAGGTCTATAAAAGTAAAAGGCTAAAAGGAAATAATAATAGAATACTATAAAGAAGGATAATAACATTATTATTATAAGCCTTATCTAGACAATTCTAGTTAAACTAGAAAGAAATATATATAAGAAGCAATAAACCTTTACTGTTTTTTATTACAAATATACTATTAGCATTAAGTTTTCTCTTTACTTATTTCTTTTTATAAAAAATTATAAAAAGTCATATAAAAATAAGTAAAAATTGCGTTAATTTTATAAAATACAACAAATATTAACTATACTAGTATCTAACCTTTATACCCTCTCTTCTTATAACTTTAGTAATAGTAAGGCTTTTAATTTCCTACTACTTAGTATACTTCTAAGCTTGCTCTTTACTAATAATAATGTTACTAGATTCTTAAGATACTATAAGGTCTTTACTAGCTTTGCTAAGCTTAAGAAAAGCAATAAAGTTAATAAACTTCTTATATACTATAGTAGTAATAATGCCCTTTACGTAAAAGGCTTAGTTACCTAGGCTATGTTAAAGCCTACTAGGGAAAGATTTAAACACTTAAAGGAATAGATAATGCTAGCCTTTATAAGAAAGGATAAAGATTACGTTATAGTACTACTTATATAAGCTTAAGCCTAGTTCTATTTAACTTACTTAATAAACCTTAAGACCTTTATTAAGAAGATAATGCTGCTTTACTCTTATATAGTCTAAGCTAGAGAAGAATTATTAGCTAGCTTTAAATACTTTAAATCCTTATATAAAGCCCTTTTAAAAAGCGTTTTTAAAATAGTTTAGACATATATTAATTTTAGCTATAATACACTATAGAAGCTATCTTTTAAAGACTTTTATAATTACATTATAACTATCCTTA